TAACAAATACTAATTACAAATAAATAAAGTTCCGAATAAAAGAAGTAAACGTGTGATAAAACTGCTGAAAGTAGTGTTCTATTCGTTTTTTTACAAATATCAATATAGTGACTAATAGACAATTTAGATAGCGAATACACAAGTTAATTCTGGATAATTCAGTGATATTACGTACAGAGTAAAAATGTCACCAAAAAGTAATGATAGTAGTGACAACGTTTACAAAAAGACATAGTTCACCTTTCATGCCGTTCTGTTAAGATTTGTATCTTCTCTTCATATTTACAACAGTCAGTATCATATTTCATACGTAAATCATCTAGTTTTGTTTCTAATTCAGCTATAGAACTATTCGCTGTTGTTAAGTTGGAACGTAGATTTTCAAGTTCATGTTGACAATCTAAGCTGTAAATAAAAGGGTTCAAAGTGATCGACAATGAGATCGAATTATTTGAAAAGCATACACTTGAGTAAATAAGAAACAGACTTTATTTTAAAGTGAATGGTCATAAACAGAAACAAAATTGTATAAATCATTAGCAATGTAAAATCTTATGTACTTGCATTTTAGCACCATTTATTAATGAAAAATAATGATATTGGTCGAATATTCAAACATTAAGGTGAATCAGGGTTCGTACTCGCGATGTAACCAAGACATTGAGTAAGACTATGAAGTCATCGACAATTAGACTTAGTCATGGTAATAGATGTATACTAACTGGTTGGATTCCGCATGATGATTGTAATCAATCTTTAGACTTTGAATTATATGGTTCAAAATCTTCTGTAATGGCACAGGGATATTCATCCTTTATCGTCCCCGAATTCTGAGATTTTAAATCCCACATAACTTTAATTGTTCTTTTATTTCACTAATTCATATTTCCTTGAATCGTTTTCTTGACACAGTATTTTCAATCACTACCGATACTGATACTACTATGGAATTTGGTTTGATAATTTCATCTATCTGTGCTAATATATTGTGGAAACTTGAACCGATGTACATTCGTGCCAGGTTCTACGTTGTGATTGATGGAATAGGGATATAAGAATTTCAACTTCAGTGCCCTAACGACAGCTAAATGAAAGTAAAAGGCAACTTAAATTCATGGTCATAGTTCATAATAATGTACTTGTGACTTACCAAAGTTTATTTGCCAGAACATTCATATTTATTACATTGAAATATCTTTATATGTGAGGATTATGAGAAATGCATAAATAAAAACATTAATACACTCACAAAGTCCTTGGATATGAGACACGTTCAAAGTGTGAGGGCTAATGACACTACTTAGTTGCCCAAAACAAAGTAGGTAGAACGAAATTCGAACCATTGGATCAGTAAATGAAAGTCGAAAGCTTTAACCACTAGTTCCCCGAGCATCAAGTGGAAGCAGGTATTTTTCACAAAGCTGCTAACGGTTTTACACAAACCTGTAGAATGACGTTACGTACATCTACACGATAACCGCTGGTTATTATTCCGCCTAAGATTCTGAAGGTTATATACAGGAGATATTTGTAGGTTGCTGGTACTTGATCACATGTACTTGAGACAATAATCACGTACGTTGGTACCATCAAAAAAGCGACGTCAATGTTAGACGAACGGTGATAGGTAAATATGGCGAGTTAGTTGATGAGTTATACAATTATAAACGACCTAGTGTAGGAGTAAATTTTTGAGAAAACCACAAGGAGTTAAAGCGAAGCGCGGCATCAGTCTATGAGTTTATAGACACCTCCAGTAGAGTATATGGGTAGGCGGTTTAACCGGTTGGTGTTAGCGTGGTGATTACGAATGATCTTTGGAGATGATGGGTGACATGTGTCGAGATCTGTGCACTTGGGCTTTGTTTATCATTTACGTTGCTTATGACGGGCTGGATCGTTTTGCCACACGCAATAAGAGGAGACGTATGATTTATTACTTGAGACCAACATACATTACTTATTTCCCAAGGGTTATTTAGCTACGTTGTTGAAAAGTAGGTAGTCTACTTCCCCTTTGCTGATTTTCATTTACTTGCTTGGTCTTAAAATGTTTGCGGACTGCCGTTAGAGACAATGAAACTTGAAGCATAGTGTAACATAAAGCTTAAACAAATTAATCCTATGCTTTCCCATCGAATATGTTCTCAGTGAATAGATTTTATATGACGACCTATTAGAACGAGACTCATTTGCAGCAAATGATTCATTGTAATAAATGGAAAGCTTTGCAATACTTAACAAACAAATATCAGTATACAGAGGCGAAATACCTTGATAAACAATGGCGATTGTGCCATTGAAGATAACTTAGTCAAATAAATCACAATCGATAACAATGAAGTATTCAATTGTTTAAATTCATCTAGCCTTTTAGTGATCGTATAGTGGATAAACAGACGAACATCTGATAATAACCCCTGGCAAATCTAGGCCAACAAAAGTCTACTACAGTTAAAGAAGATCACAAATGAAATGAAGTGAATGAATTACGATATGTACTTCACGAATAAGATTAAAATCGGATCACTAGAAACACTATAGACGGCCTTCGTTAGTAAGTTTTAAATTGATCAAAAAGATCAACATTATTGCTGTAAACACTAAACATCTTAATGACAGTTTAGCTTGAAAATAAGACGAATTGAACATTTTATCGAAATTCGGGATATAAATTAAGTAAATGAGACATTTTCGGAACTTGCAAATTACACGCGACCAGTAAAGTTGCTACTAGATTAACAGCTATGAATCATTTTACTAAGATATATTGATTGACTTAAATTAAAATGAAAATCAGTGCTGAAGGTAATTTCCGACTAATTCCCGAACATACCTACATATATTTGCAAATTTGGCTAGTGAACAAACACATCGTTGAAAGGTTCACTAGTTAACCGGCAATCAACTAGGCCGAAAGTGTTAGAATTTATTCATGTATTCCAATCATGTTCAAAAATGCCACTGTGACATTATACTGAGCGGTATTTATAAAAAAATGACTGTCTTCTGAGTATGGACTCTATATAGAAACAGTGAATAAGGCACCACATGAACAATTTTGGGGAAAACTAATTGCGAAGTATTTCAAAACGAAACACGGACGGACCTTACATGTCTACACGACATTTACGTGAACGGAGCAACAAAACACAAGGTCAGCCTAAAAAGGCCCGCCGTTTTATTTCGATGACCTTGGTGGATATTTCTTTTCCAATTTTTGTGAATTTTTATGTCATTAGACTGTCTGATTTTTAAGTATCCTCACAATACTAAAATCTGTTCAGGCGTAAAAATAAAAAAACTCTTCTGATCTTAGACTATAATTTCACTTTACAGAACCTAGAAGTTTTTGTTGGGGCTCGATCAGGCTGCAAAATGCCTTGAGATCAGACGAAATACCAAAATATCGAGATCGAGAACTGCTGGAAGAATGATAACATTCGGTAGATGCTACGATTTAGGTGCACAACGATGAGTTATTCAACTCGTTAGCTAACTTACTTTTTTTTGTACAAACGAAGGTTCCACTGGAACTGAAAAAGGTGAGATATATTTGTATGAAACACGAAAACATTGATTGTTTATTCATAGTCAACTGTGAAAGACACTATGCAGATATATTTGAAAGGCTATCGTGGTGTCAAATGAACGTAGATCTAAGGAGGCTAATAATTGACAGTCATATGTACCGTGGCGTAGCCGTTCGTGGGCTGATACGGATTGGTGGCGAAACGCGTCCAATGAAGCTAATGAAGTTAGTATCAGTGCCAAAGACTTGAAGAACAATTGATTTTCAGGGTTTATTTGCCGTTAAAGCTCACTTCCCCAATAGTATGGTAGTGACGATCCTTGGACATTGCCAGACAGCAGTTTTAGCCTAAAGCGTTTGTATATGTAAACACTCTTCCAATAGTTTCCCATGTTCAGCATCTTCTGGTCCTCTTTCCTTACTATGAAGAGCTATGTGTTACAATTTAGTAATGAAAAACGGGCTCAATGAAAATTTCGATCCTCCGTAATTTTCATTGATTTTTCATCTTTCTCAGACGTTCTGACAAAGAAAGAATGAAATTTTGGGTTGTAATCTAAATATACTTGCGCAAGGACACATAAAGGGCGAAAACAGAAAAGTAACTGGTGTACATGTGTTTTTAACATGTTTTTTTAAGAAAAATTTATTCACACACATAAGAACATATTGTAGATCACCCACGTATATGATCTATGTCGAAATGATTGAGGGTCTATTCGAGTCAGAGGGGATACGTGTGACCAACAGCTAACTTCGAACTCACACACTGCTATCAGCATCTAACGTGTCAAAGTACTATGACTTTTTTGAATACTGCACAACATAAGGGATTTTATTACGGAAATATATTATTAGGAATAAAGACAAGCGAAAGTGCGACCACCAGTGCATGGGCCAGTTCATGGCGTGCGATTGCCTTTGACAGGGATCGATGGTCTGTTCGGTATTCAATCACCCAACTGCCAGATGATTTGGCTCTGGCTCAGTGACATTTCACTGCCACAATAATATTAAAAAAGTGACGTTTTTTCTGTTATTATACTGTCATATTTGTGACATAACGCCAATGTAGACGGTGTCGACCTTTCAAAGCCTATTGGAACTGAACGGATACGGTGAGACCAACCACTTTTCATAGATGTCACACCTCATTGTCAATACCAAACCTGGATAATTCTCCGTTGTATCCTAGTGTGATTATTTCGTCGATTACCCTACAACATAAAGAACGTCATTAAAGGAATATCTTAGTAAAAGTTGGCACAAGAAATAAAGTGAGACCACTTCCGCATATGCCAGTCCACGGCGTACAAATGATTGATAGGCGTCGGCCGTCCTTGACTCTAACAAGGAGAGGTAAACTGCTTGATATTCAACCACCTGACTACCGGCCAACTTGGCAAGCACCGTGGCATTTCAGTACAACTACGGTACAAATATTACGTACTTTTATCGTGCGCAAATCATGGGGAGGTTTGTTCTTACGAGTGACTCACGCGTTTGTTACCTTGCTCACCCCCATACACATTCGTGGTACAGTTAAAAGCAAATACATTACGGTGATATGTCTGGATGTCATCAACGAACTTAAAACTCGCCTTATCAAATGGTTCAAATGGTTGTGGACGGAATAGAAGAAGCTTTCGCTAACAGACTTCCGTGTCTAGTAGCAGAGGATCACCAATACCTCCAGGCAGGAACCCAGGTATATTAAAACAGAAAAAAAACAAATTGGTAAATCATAGTAAGATAATATCCTTAGTCTTTAAGAATAGACCAAGTTGCCTCTTAAAGGAATCCTGGGAAGTCGCTTGGACTAGATCAGCCGGCAGCGAATTCCAGCCTTTCACAACTCTTAAGGAGTAGAAGTTGTGCCTGCAGTCCGTTCTACTGTGTTGTGTCTCCAATTTCTGGGTCTTACTCCTTAGGTTAGTGTTGAGACTAAGCTTAAGTAGGTGTTCAAGAAGAATTCCACACGTGTTGAGGATACTGAAAGCCATTAGAAGGTCACCTCTAAAACGCCTATACTCTAAGGAGTAAAGGTCAAGTGATTGGCGGCGCTCTTCATAAGGTTTAAATTTGAGTCCTCGATCTGATTTCGTTGCTAGCCGTTGGATACGCTCCAGAGTGTCCTTATCCTTTTGTAGTGTAGGAGGAAATACTATGTTTCCGTACTCTAAGTGAGGACGAATAAAACTATTGAAGATTGTGTGGAAAGTACTTCCGTCAAACTAGCCAAAAATACGCTTCAATGTCAATTTGTCAGATATGAACTGGGCCAATCAAATAAAGATGGTTTGATACCCTATCGCCTGAGCTTGTTGATAAGACATTTGTGATTAAGCCTATCAAAAGCTTTAGAGAAATCAAGATAAATGATATCCACCTTCCCCTTGCGACCAACGACGCTTGTCCATCTGTTCATCGCAGTCAGCAGGTTCGTCATACAGGAGCAACCCTTCCTGAAACCATGATGTTGGGGTGAGAAGAAATTTAAGGACAGCAGATAGCCGTGTATACCATCGTATATCAGAGACTCCATGACCTTTGAAGGTATAGAGAGAAGAGCCACCGGTCGGTAACTTGAAGGTTCGCTGCGTCGACCTCCTTTGAGGATTGGTGTGATATGAGCCAGCTTCCAATTTTCCGGTAGGTTGCCTCGACTAAACGAGTGTGAGAACATCACGCATTGTTGCCAGGATTGAAGCTGCTTCCGTCAGTATAGCAGAATGAACTATATCTGAGCCAGGAGAAGTGTCTGTTCTTAGATGCTGTAGTTTTTGGAACACCAAGTCAGCGCTGTTTCACTACGGAAAGTCCTGTGCAGTTGCAGATGAAGCCGTCATCAATATAGTTGATGCGGGTCGGTTGAAATGTCCGGGAGTATTGCTAAGCCGGAAGGTTAGCGGCGTCACCTTAGTTATCGGTCAGGCTGTTGGGACCTAGCAATTGAGAAACTCCAGTTTCGGCTTGACGAAGAGAGGCTGCGTAACGGAATAAGCTTTTCGGATTGGAAATAAATTTATCCATAAGCTGTATCTGGTACTGATGCCTGTCTTCTCTTATAGCCTTCGTTCATATGTTCCTTATGTGTTTATATTGCCTGAACGAGATGTTGTTGTCGGTTCGTTTGTATTCTGTCCAACAGTAACTTTTACGGCTTAGCAAACGAAGAGTGCGGTTTTTGATGATTTTAGGCTGCATGTGGCTTTTGGGGACCGTTTGAGGCACTGACTGCTTTGTAGCACATGAGAGCGTGTGCAGTAAGAAGTCCCATTGAGCGTCCACATCAAGTTTAGGGGGAACATCCCAATCCACCTGTTGTAAATAGTCCTATAAAGCTGACGCATTCAACCGTTTGAAATTCCAGCGCCTGTTGTTGGTGGGTTATCTTAGCTCAGTTTTGCTGACGAAACTGAAGGCTATAACGGCTTTTCCACAGGGTAGCCAGAATTGAGAGGTTGTCAAGTAGAAATTCTTAATTTGTAAAAACACAATGTCTGACTGTTCCTCCAACGAGTAGCCGACTTCACATTTTCATATAATCCCGAATCCTCAATGAGGTTGAAGAACCAAGCTTCGATTGAATTTTCACCTCCAATATACGTATGTTCCGCGAAATGAACTCTAGGGAGATTGAAGTCCCCTAGAATCAGGATATGAGTGAATCTGAGACGCGTGGAGCGGGATAGTCCTTCCAGCATACGACTGTCATACTCGATGTCGGCAGTGGGCTTTCTATATATGACTCCAACTAGGCACCTCGAAGTGGTGGACAATCTCACAGAGCACCATATGGATTCCTCAAGACTGTCAAACTCATAGTTGTGAACTTGATGTACCGCCAAGCCAGACCGTATGTATACGGCTACTCCACCCTTTCGACTCCTGTTTTTCTGTCGTTGCGAAAGAGAGGCATCCCAGGTATCGCTAGCTCCTGGTCCGAAAACTGAGAAGATATCCAAGTTTCAGATATTCCTATCAGATGAACCTTATTAGCATTACTAAGTTCACGTAGCTCATCCATTTTATTTGGTATAAGCAGTTAATGCTTTTAATTTGAAACGCGTGAGCTTCATCCTGTATGTCTATGTGAGCCTTACGTAGTCTACCTTTATAAGGTTTAAAACATGAAGTTCAGCGAAGGGATCTCTTTTCAAAGAATTTATTATCAAGCTGTACAATCGTATATATACGATAATTTTGTTTTTGTAAAAGTACTAATTCCTTGAGGAAATGTGAACACAGTTAACCATGACGTAATAAAAACTTCTCTCGAGAATCTTTAGGGACGTTCGGATGAGATTGCGCTCAGAATACGGTATGTCAGAAAGTAATCTGACGCTCCCATCGGATTTCAGTAGGCTACTAGCTAGTAGGATACCCTCTACTTTGGTAGCATTCTTGAGTGTTACACGAAGTAGTCTCGGGTGATTTTGATGTTTAGAATCCTTCCCCCGAGTGAGCCATGTGACCGTCAAAGGCTCTATTCTAAGAAGTTCGAGCTTTTTGTTCATTTCACCCCAGAGCATCCTGTCGTCTTTGTCCTGCAAACTGAGAGGAAGGTCAGGGTTGTCTATGAGGTTCGTGATTATGAGAGAGTCGTCACGGACCGTTGTTGTTTTCCCAGTTTTTCCGGTGCGTTAAGGGTCAGTACGTTGTTGTTTGGAGGTCGAAGCATGTTTCTGAATCCTATTCTTTTTGATATCCGGGCGGACGTTTTTGGGCGCAGACTGAGCGATCAAATCGCCAGTTGATGTCCGTACAACACTTGGGATGTTCAGCTTAGACGGTGACGCCTGGCCGCACTACCGCTTAAACAACGTTTCTTATGAACCGAGTGAATAAGAAACTATAAAAATAATAATGAAATAATTAGCGGACGAGATTTGTATAGTTACGATCACATTGCTGAAGACTTTGTGTCATTCAATTTGGTAACTGAAGTGACCTTGAGTTACATGTTTGACCATCAAACTCTTAGAATGTACGGCTGTACTACGCATTATTTCATAGTTCCAGTTATTAGATTCCATTGACTTCACAGTCAAGCATCAAGAAATTTGTCAATCGTATGTATCGGTGAGTGTATTCCACCTGACAAGAAATTTTTTTTTGGCCTTCCATTTCTCAATTGAGAAATGAATGCAATCAAAAAGAGAAAATGGTGCGGAACAGTGTGTTATTTGCGGGTGAAAGTTTACTTTTGCCTCAAGAGGTAGACTTTCAGACAATGTCTCGTTAATGAGTACATTCCTAGACACAGTGGGAGCAAAGCTGACCTTTCAAATTAGGCAAAGTCGCTGCTAAATTTGTGGAAATTCAGTCAATATAACAATTAAATAACCACTTCTGATGTAAAATCATCGTAGATGCATCTCGAAAATCACACAGCTAGTCATGTAACGCTCTGGTTAGGCATTCAATCGTATCTTATACATGGTTGTCCCGGTGATGAACATACCTCATTTCATATTGGTACTTCATGCTACGGACATGTATTTCTATTCAGGTCGTTATATGCACATCCGGATTCTAATCTCCAGCATAGATTCTTAAGTGAAGCCCTGAGTATTATTAGTCACCTGATGTCATTACTAATCAGAATGATCAAGCAGTGTAAATTAAGTGACACTGGTGATTATTACCAGTTGAAAGTAGGAATCCCCTTTCATAATTTCATCAGTTCTCCCTATACCACAGTACTTCCCAAATAAACTTATACCAGTTCCTGCATTCAACGCTTGGTGCATGGAGATACTTGTTTGAAGAAATACCGTTGAGTTATGTGTTCTGCTCTCGTACTTTCAATCTTTGTGTTGGTTATGCCGTTTAGTTTCCAACAAACTATACGACATGTGGTCTTGCGAACCTTATGAGCAGTTACCAACTCTAAAGTCACAAATAAACTACTTGTTAGCTGTTGTATGTCCCCAAAACCTTATGTTCATAAACATACCCACAAAAAAATGGTTTGACCTAGACATACTCGGCTAATTTCCAAAAATGCACCCTTCAGTCTTTTCGTTGTTGATGTAGATTTTTCCGTTTTCATACTATTGGTTGTTAGTCGTGAATCGGTGTTTATGAATATTTGAAAACCTTAGTCGTCGTTTGATGTGATACATGGTGATACAGTTGGTTTTCACCAAAGTTTTAGAGATGCGAAGCGCGACTAAGTGTACCACTTATGGAATTCTTGGGCGTTATCTTGTCTCATTTTTGCTAGAGTATGAAATACGCAAGTTGCTGTCTAGGTTTAGTCTGTGAAATTCATCATTTCCTTCAGTTTTCAAGAGTTACGAAGCGATTTCCAAATATTTGTATGTAATATACAGATAGTTGGTTTTCGATCGTTCCGTTTATGGGACGCCTAAATAGGCTTTTACATGTCGACTGGCGTTTAGTTTGTCGAACACTATGCATGTAAGTGTCTAAGCTTTGACTTATTCATTATAACATTCACGTTTCGCCTTCGGCTTTACAGATCATCGTCTGGTGTAAACCCTTAATTTCTCACATTTTCAGTTTCGTGATCAAGTTTCTGCACTTTCATAAGAAAATAAGATCAGTATCCAAGTAATAAGTTACTTTTTCGTAACTCATCTGTTATTGAAAACCATTCAGTTATATATTATAAAAAGTACTTACGCGTGTACCTTTCTTCGAGGAGCATAGGCCGCTCACCAGCATTCTCTATCCATCTCTATCCCGAGTAATCCTTTCAGTTGCTCTTCATACTTTTCACTTATGCTTCCAATTCTCGAAACAGTGTTTTCTTTGGCTTTTCTCTTTTCCGTTTCTCTTCAAGATTCCAGGTTAGCGCTTGTGTCGTGATGTAGTTTGATGGTTTCTTCAATATATGTCATATGCACTTCCAGCGTCTTTCCCTCTTCAGTTGGAAGCTGGTTTGTTCCCTCCCACGGTAAGCTGTCACTGATGGTATTTGACCAAATGACATTGAGGATCTTGCTTAGACAACTGTTTATGAATACTTGTACTCTTTTGATAATAGTTGTAGCAGTTCTCCAAGTTTCAGCTCCGTACAACAAAACTGTCTTGGCGTTCTTATTGAAGATTTTGACTGATGTTGGTTGACATTTGTTTTGAGTTACATATGTTCTTCAGTTGTAGGAACACGACCCTTGCTTTACCAATCCTCACATTTATGTCCGCCTTGTTCATCGATGATGCTTCCCATTTAGGTGAGACATTCAACATCTGCCATAACTTTTCCATCAAATGAGATTGAGTTGGTGTTATTCATTCTGTATTTGAGAATCTTGCTTTTTCCCTGTGCATGTTGAGGCCTACTGACGCAGAAGTTGCTGCTACACAGTTTGTCTTGACCTACATTTGTTGGTGTGTTTAGGATAAAAGGGTCAGGTCATCTGCAAAGTTCAAGTCGTGTAGTTGCATCCAACCTGTTTACTGTATTCCATACTTTTTGTCAAATGTCGAGGTCTTCATAATCTAGTCAACCACTAGAAAAAGGGAGTGTAGGCAGCCTCGTTTGATTCCGGTCCATAGTGCGAAACTACTAGTTATAAAGATTCCGCTTCAGATTAGTACTTATGAAGTTTAATTTTATTGAATTGAAGGGTGTCATAGTGAGTCCAGGGCCAATCTTTTGATCCTCATTGACGGTATCACAGTTTTGGAACTGTAAAGTAGTTTATCGAACCCTATAAGTTCATCCCCTTGAGTTTTACCGTCAGACTATCTTGTATAATTGTGCATCATCAACTAATCACCAGCTGTCTCCCTTGCAATATATGTAACTATTATCATATAGCCATCTGTCAAATACAAAACAGTTTTTGCAGCAGCTTACCTTCCTGGCAGTTCGATATCTCTGTGTATTAGTTCTGAGTTACCTTTTTCAGGATTATCGCGACTAATATTTATGAAAATCATATCGCACCTACTTTTCTTAGGATTTCTGTTTTTTTGCCAGATTCCTGTGCTATATCTTCGATTTGAAAAGTTGGGTAGCATAGTTCTCATTCATACTATCGTGTAGTTTACACCCGTCTATTTAGACAATCGTATTATCACCAATCTTTATTTACCTGTTCAGTTTTTTTACCTCAATATTTTTTTGATTATGTACCGTACCCAAAGTATGCAATTACCTCTTTCGTAATAAATCAGCAAACTGAGGATATGTATTTGCTTTTTTGAAATGCTATTGTTTACACTGCTTACATCATAAAAATTTATATCGACACTAATTCCAAAGTCTCTTCTCGGAGATGTTTTCAATTTCATGAATAATGCAACTGAGTTTTCTTCCTATGATATTTCAAGTTTTAGTAAAAGTTAAAATCTACTTAAGAGTACACGATTTTAAAATTTCTTTTGTTTCGTTATACATTAATGTGCATTTGCTAAATTCTTCCTATCGGTTTCAAATTGTCGTGCTTCAAAGATTAAAAGGCTTTATTTGTTTTCTACAGTAAAAATGAAGTCAGAAAATGGTCCCACAATCCCGTTCAGTTCTGAGTAAGTTTTAATTCCATTGTATGGTGTCGTGTGTTCATTAGGGTTTCGATACAAATTTGTGCCAGATCCTTAGCTGATGGTGAATGATTACTTGAGATTGTTAGAGGCCTCCTTGTTAAAGCATAGTTTGTTTGACTTCAGTACTTAATAATATAAGTTTGGATTTTCGAAATATTTTTTTCTGATTGTGGTTTCTGACTCCTTATTAAAAGACCCCAACAAGCACGAGACAGAAGTCAAAAGTCTACTGTTGGTTTTTAATATACATATTTTATATAATTGTGTTGGCAGTTAAAGAAGACAAAATATATTATTTTGCTTTCAAACTCCATGTTCAAATATCCTTATCAAGGGGTATGATTGCGTCACATTTTTTCGAATAAAATCAGTTTACTCTTTAATTTAGAAAATAGTCTGTTTAAAATGTATGCCTATAGTTTTTGAGTTGTTTGGAGATCGATCATATTCAAATACTGCCAATACTGTGATATTCAAATAGCATTTGAAGAAATACATCTCATTATCCTAGTTAGTAAAGCATGTTGGCTACCATTTATTAATAAAACTGTTTTGAAACGTTTTATGACCATTACAATATATTTGAATAATTTCTGGGAATTACCCTAACTTATTTGTATACATCTTCATGCTAAAATAGTTCATGCACATAAATAAGCCCATATTGGATTCATGCTATATGGTAGGTGTTCAAGAATTTATAATCAATTTGGAGTAAAGTCCAACCATTCGGTAATACTTCCATATTTGTCCGCACCGTGGAACACCTTGGTATTTTGGTATTTATCTATACAGGAGCTTAGAAGTTTGTTATTTGTAAGGAAAATTATTATCATTTTAACAGTCTACAGTTATATTAGGCTCTTGGGTCATTTCTTAGCAGTATATAGTTACAACACAAAGTGTTTTCCGTTTAGTATAGTATTTATTACAGATTTAGTTTCCTTCTATCTTATCACTTGTATTCATCGATAACAAAATATAAAGTATCATCAATATTGATTTCGATTATGGTATGGATCAGTATTCTTACGTGACTGTTAAGAAAAAAGGATATATTATTATTTTCTATTATATATGTTTTATTTATTTATTTGAACACATAAATATTGGTACAAGAGGACACCAAATATATATGCGCCACACAAAACAGTGAGAATTTAAAGAGAGGAGAAAGGAAGAAAGGAGGGTAAAGAGCGTTTAAAAAAGAACACTAACGAATAGATTAGTGTAAGGTAGTGTAATAGTAATAATAATGGGGGAAACGAAAAGGTACGATCAGAAGAAATCTTTCATTCAAGAAAGAAGCAACCTCTTTTTACGAAGAAAGTAAAAGAAGGTTACAACAGGATTGCCACTGGCTTCTATTCTGAGCCATATATGATAACGTTTCTAGCCAATGTGTTACACCGTCTCTCGGACCCAAGCCAAGGAGTTGTGAAGGACCAACACAAGCCAGCCCTTTGCAACTTTCTTTCATACCACGACACCATGTCATACACTGACCACCTCTCCGCTTTTTCTAACCAGTCCCAGCATCGGCATTCGTAGAACATGTCCAAGCCACCGAAGTCGGTGTTTCAAGATGGCGACACTAATTGCATTATCGTCTCTGTGACCGAACACACGATGCTGAACCTCTGCATTAGTAACATGGTGTCGCCACTGAATATCAGCAATCCTTTGGAGACAGCGATGATCAAACACAGAGAGTCGTCTAACATCCTCAGCTCGGAGAGGCCAGGTTTCACAAGCATAGAGAACTGCTCTCACCGACGCGTTGTAGATCCGACCTTTTACAGCCAGAATAAAATCACGAAGGCGCCAAGGATGGCCCAGATTGGCATAAACCGCTCTGGCTTTCACTATACGTGCATTGATCTCATCACTCACGCCACCACCAACACTTATGCAGCTACCTAGATACACGGACTTCTCGACTACTTCTATCTGCTCACCATCCATTGTGAGTACAGAATTAGAATCCTGCCAGTCTTGTAGAAGTACTTTGCACTTCGAAGGTTCAAAGCACATACTATACCTACGGACATTGATTGCCAACTGATTAAGTGGAGATTGCATGCCTTGGGCATTCTCGCACAGTAAGACAATATCATCCCCATACTCAAGGTCGAGAAGTCCTTCTCCATGTAACAGATCTACGCCGCCATTACTTACATCCATCAGAACTGTTTCCAGAATGTCATCGATGGCAAAGTTGAAGAGGAATGGGAGAAGATCGAACTCTTCTCTCTCATCCATACCAGGACATTTGGAAGCAACGAAAACTAATGAATATTGAACAAAAATATCAACAGCGAGATAACCCAAACTATCTCGAATTAAATTAACTTTTTTCAAATCATACATACAGATGTTTCAATAGGTATATATTTCCTAAGCTAACGTTTTCTACATATTTCTTTGCTTTCAGTACGCTTGTATCAATGCTTTCTCACAATCTAGCAGTAAATTTAAAACCCCATCAAGTTTTAGAGGTGAGTTTTTATTTCCTAAACAAAAGTTTGATTCAAAATATATTTATCATCTCTTTGAAAAGAAAATATGATTGATTGTGTAGAAGAATATGGAGTCTGGTGCATTCACTTATTGAATTCAAGTTGTAAAACTTATCATCATTACATCATTTTTAGGCCTTGCGAAAACGAAATAAACAAATATGCATCTGCTTACTGAGTTGGACTCTCGTTATCATACTGTAACTCAAATTCACGGAACATTATCCACAGATTGTATAGAAATTCAGATGTTATGAAAAAAAGTCAACTTTGCTCTCACTGATTTGCTGTTTTATTTTATTGTGTAAAGATTTGTTGACACTTCGCTAGTGTTTTGTCTTCAAAAAAGGCAAAACATAATTTTGACGCTTCTCTTAACAGTTTTCACTTAAGCTATAGTTGCATATCAGCAGTTGCTAAATTCAATTTATACATCAGTCATCACTAGCCTTTGAAATGCGGGAGCATTATTTTATTTTCATGTTTTCGTTTGTACAGTTTGAGCTTTCATTTCACTTCTCTGAATAACAATGTTGTTTCCAGTCCCTAACATGTCAACTGTTCATTTGAATTTCAAGTTTTTTGTACCTTTTGTGAATACTACGTCCATTTTTCTTTCTCGACAAGAATTGTTTCATCAAGGTTCTCTTAAAGTTTTAAAATCAACTGATTGATTATTGGACATCAGGAATTATCGTACAGTTGTTTCATCCTATTTTCTTTACTTCCATGCTTCCCCCTAAATTCACTAGTTTTTCTTAAATTGCATTATCACAAGTTAGTCATTAAAATCGGTACTGTGTTTGGAAAACTGACGTACTCATTACATGGAATTCTTAACATTCTTTTGGTACCGACAGTCACTATACCTATGTAGTTCCCAAATAAGACCAATATATATATCGTTATACCTCACTTTATCCCTTACCAATGTTATTCTGTGTAAGCAAAGTAGAATAATAGGAGTTGCTTTAAACACCAAAATTCGATTGCTCCCCCTATTATTGTATATTTCGCTCAGTCAAAGATAAATTAAAAGACAGCACCAATCATTCGACCATGAAGACTTATTAGTTAACAAAAATATAACTCCTTGTTAACATTTTTATCGATCTAAAATCCGAATTAGCAAATGATTGGACGGTTTGCACTGATTTAATAACTATAATTTGTGAAGCAGGATTATTCACACTACGTAACAGCATGAAAACAGATACTTTCACTTCATCTGCCAAAATGATGACTTCTGATTTAATCTTCCCTGTAAAATCCTTCGAAATAATTACGATGTGCTAACGATGGGATCATATATATATATATATATATATATATATATATATATATATATATATATATATATATATATATATATATATATATATATATATATATATATATATATATATGCTATTCTGGTGACCTTGAGTGACTTGTCAGCCAATTAGAGAGCGCTGGGTTAACCATAAAAGACAACGAAACAATAGATTAATAACTTAAGTCTGAATTATTTACACCCGCCACATGACAAATTGTTTTTGTATTAAAAGGAAAAGGTCAAGCCTACACATTATTAGTCGGGATAACATTATGATTTACGGTTATCACATCGTAGTTTTCATCACCTCATAATATCGGTTATAATTTAAAAAACGTTAAGGTTGTGGATTAAAGATAGAGCTGGAGATTTGAGTTGGCTTTACAAATTAAGTTTATTGTTTTTCATCAGGAAATGGCATCAGTTATAATACAATGCTTTCCCACCCTTCCGTTTGAAACCTTAGGAAAATTAGGGTTGAGATTTAGAGAAAGAGTTGGAGAAGAATTATATTATCTAGCGTCACTAAACATTCTTAACTACGCATTGAATCACACTAAGCACACAATCTGCCAGGCATGTTTTGTCATTTAGGTTAAGCACTATCGTAAATTCAAACTTTCGTTGTGTAATTGATTCCGAGCATTTTAAGAATCAATTATTATCAATTTTCATTTACCTAATAACAACATACAAGTTATCCATCATTGAACTTGAAATTTCATGCAAAGTATATGAAGAATTATCTTGATTTTGATTGGTTAACTCAAGGCCGTCAGTTTATTATACGCTTAACTATTTCATTTGCCTATATGTAAAAATTGGATTCAACGAATGTGCACAATAAAGTAATTACGTCGTAAATCTACGCAAAAACATCAAATCAACAGAACACCCCTCAAAAAAACCAAGTCATGTATGAAAACCGAGTGAAGCTTCATTTCGTTTAAAATTTTATTTCGTTAATTAGGTCAGGAATCAAAGAACTCTATAGTATAATCATTGCGAATTTACTTTAATAAATATCTAGGACACATGACCGCATTCGTTAATTCCACTGCCTTTAATTTCCAAATTTTATTTCAATAGCTACATTTTCACCATTTGGTATTCGATATGAAAGTAACAATTAAAAAATTATGCTAAATGATATTACTGAAGTCATATATTACCCAAATTTCATTGGTTATTACTGTAATTTAAAGTTTCAGTTATTTGATTTACACGACCATTTTAACTTTTCCTGTCATGTTATATTTACTCAGTATGTAAATATCTAATAACTTCATTTCATATTATAAGTAACTGACAATTTATTTCATTATTCTTGATCTAGGAGTAATGTCAGTTTTCTTATTCGATTCAGTTGCAGATAATTGGTTATTAATAATGATTTATGTAACTGAAATCAGTAGTGGAAAATCGATCGAGTGTTCAGACTCATAGTTGTGGAAAATTGAATAAACTCGTTAGCTCATTTTATTTCTTTGCATCTTGAAAATTTTGTTTTCTAAGATTACATTTTCTATTTTAAATTGTGTTTGTTTTTTTGTCGGATTTATTCCCATTTATGGTCTCGTCTTTTTGTTCAGTTGTAGGTCCATTAGTTGTTTTATCGGGTTTTACTGACGCTTAATCAGTTAATCAACTGTATATTAAAAAAAATGTGTATTAATTGTTTGTCTAAAGTTATAATTTTTTTCAACCATCATGAATAAGCTGATATTAGTTAACATAATATTACATTTTAATTATAATAGGTAGCTAGTTCGTAACCCGCTACACCTACTTCACTTTGATTGACTACTCTCTCATACTACGGAGAGTTATAGTTCAAAGCTGTACTTGATAAATTCACACTTTCTCTTGTTTTTTTTTTAAAACAATACTATTTTTTTCGGATTCCAGCTCATCAAAAAGCTGTCCGCTAATTTAACTAGTCAGCAGAAAATAAATTTACTCGAACATCTCCTGGTAAGTGATACTAATTTGTTTTTCATCACTTTATGTATATATTTCCAAGTTAACTTTTTACATGAGTTGAAATTCTTAAGTAGTAAATATCATCACAATCCGACTTGATGCTAGTTGTAGTTGTATCTAGAAATTTAGAACATATTAGCTTTCTTTGGTTTTTTTCGAGGTATTCAACAATCAATGTGAGTAATTGTTTTTAAAAAATTTTTTAAGTTAGACGTCTATAAATCTAAATAAAATACACTTTAAAGAAACAAGTATTGTACATTACATGCTTTTTCTATTGTTTTCGTGAGAATCACATCTTCCACTAACTGTTTCCTCAAGATTACACATATACAATACTACTTTACCATGAAAAGATGTGTTCTTGTGTGATATTCAAAAATTCTTTGGGGATTTTAAGTAGAGACAGACATTAGCTAGCAGTGAAGTTCAAGACTCGCGTTTCATTCTATCTGGGACTCGTCAGGTGGATGTACCTGCATCCTAGTGTTTATGTTTACCCCGGGACTTTTGGAATATAGATGTTCTTGCTCTTTCTAAAAACCATGTATTTGTTATTTCTTCAAAATAATAAACTATTGCAAGAGAATGAGTAGCGATCAACATACACATGTTTGTTTTGATGAACCGATACATATTTTGAACTGATTGATTTCACTAAACTTAACCAAATTGGCTTCTATGAATTTTAATAAACATTGATAAAATCTCTATGTGACTGTGAACATTCTCTAATATAAACTAGATTATTTGCAATGAATCATTAACAATATACATGCTCTATATAAACATTCAATTTAAATGTTTTCTTCTAGCTATTTTTCACCAATCGGCGGTAGTGAGTTGTTTAGTTTTCTGACCATACTAATCGATAGATGATCGTCACAACGAAAAAATGTGACTGATCTCTCTAACCTTGTTTTTCCATCTGACAATATTGCAACAAGTATGACGAATACTGGATTTTTCTTACGAGATAATAGGAATACTTCGAAATAATAATATTCTGTGCACCATAAATTTAAAAAAATTTTTTGTTCAACAGTTTCAAAATAACCAGATATTACTACCATTGAAATAAACGTTTTCCTTTTGAAGTTAATATTAAGGCGATAGGATATGAAAGTTCAATTTAGTTTTGGGTTTACGTTGAATAGGTTCTGTCAATTTCTTTATATAACGTTTGTGTGTAACAAACTCTATAATCTGGTAGTCATTGTGTTACATAACCTTCAATATAGTATCATTAATAAGTAGTAATTTAGTGGCTGTGTAATTGAAGAACTCAACTTCCATTATTTATTTATTTTATTTTATTTTAACACATAGATATCGGTACAAGAAGGCACCAAATACATATGCGCCACACAAATCTCATTTGATATGTGTGAGGGCTGTGATACTGCCCGGGTGCCCATACCGAAGCAGGTGGTTTTCTTAGGGGGCCACACCTCGAGCCTTTGACCTGAAGATCTGATCCACAAGGCAGTGGAGCATCGTGAGGAGATGCAGTCCCATGGTAGCCGGTGACCAACGATTGGTTCATACGCCATTTGTTCCTTCAGGATACTGGAGCCCATGTGCACCATTGGTTTGGAGTCCGGTTAAAGCGCCGGACATTCGCTTTTCGTCCTCTCATTTTCGTAAACAACAGTAATGCCACGAGAAGGCAGTGAGTAGGACTTCCCTGGCAGAGGCTGTATACGCGTGGCCATGTGAGAGCATTTCGAGAGGAGGAGCGGACTCTCCCCACTCTCGGCCATACCAGGGCATTTGGGGGCCAACTTCCATTAACCTAGTGTCAAGTTAAAATCAACTACTTTTTTCGCTTTAGTCATCCCTCAAATACAAGAATGTATAGTTCGAGGTTAAATTGATAAAAAATCTTTACTTGGTAAATGAGTGACGGCGTTTAATTAAAAATAATTAGTCTAATTTAAACTGTTTTCGTTCTAATCGTATGGTTATACAACATTGTCAACCTGTGTGTAATCAGCTGTTATGAATTTCTTGTTCACTATGTACGTCGCATTTTCCTAAAATCTAGTCACCAAATCTATAATTTCCTGATTTTATCTTGATGTAATTGGATATTTGTATGAAATCATATCTGTATGTTTGTTTTTGTGCATGATAATCTTTCTGAAACAGTCATCTTATCAATATAATATCCATTTTATTTAACTGAAACATTTATGAATTATCATGATAGGAGGTTAAAACGCCTTATCGATAAGTACATTTTTATCCTTAAATCATACTAGACAATATTTTTCTAGTTGTATCAATATATACTCTTGAAATTTGTTAATTGAACATAGTAATATGATACTACATGGAATACATTAACGCTCTAGAGTTTAATAATTAAAGCTCACGTTGAAATATAAGTTGTTATTGGTGTACAAAATTTACGATGTAACAAGCATGCAGAGGGATTTATTTGTTTAATAGATACCATAATTTTTGGGTTATTTGTACTGTAAATTATTACTTCCTTGTACATAGATACATTTTCAACTCATACCTAGTAAAAAATGCAAATATTGTTCGTAAAATTTCTTGGAGAGAATAAACAAAGTTGAACTAGGCGACTAGCTACTGTTTGTAAACATTTTCATGTCATTTTGGAGTTAAGGGAAAAGTTAGAACGTTGAACGTGTATTAAACTAAATTAGGAACAGAATCTGTGGCTGTGGAACAAATGAATTGTATATTAGATGTTCACTGGAGATCTAAATTTAAACTTTCACTAGGGAAATATTAAAATGAGTGTGTAACAATCCTAGTCGATTAGGTTTTCATTATTTAATCATTAATTAACTACAAATAAACTAACTACGAAATATTGAACATACTTTTTGCAATGTATGCTAAAAAGTATTTACTGAAGATTTCGTTTGAACTACGTATTGTTTCTTTTTCCCAAATCTTTCTAAGGGTTTAACTTCTATTGGACATTTTGAAAGCTTACGCTTAGCAACGCATCTCCATTCATCCTGTCAACGTATGCCCGATTGTTGTGACTTTGTCACTTGGTTACCAGCGGAATTAACTTTACGAATTTTCTCATATCTATCATGGAGTAAGAGTTGTCAGGACGTTGTTTTAATTACAAAATTTACTCATTTTATCAGTTTGTTATTTTTTGTTTAAATATAGTTCTTTTGTGTGGTGGTCCGAATTGTGTAACCAATTACTCATTAATTGTAGTGTTCTGTTATCGATTGATGATGTAAATGAAATAATTGTTTTAAAAATATGATTCGATTGTATACTTTTTAAGAGATGAAAATTTCAAATTCATGGATGAAAACAGTTGAAAACATTCCACTAGTTATTTATGTTGGATATAGTTAGAGCTGTTGTTCATTGCTTTGAATTTTTCTCGAGGTCCTTTAATCTAGATTGTTGTCTTCCAACATTAAAAACCTCTAAGTTGAGCTATTAAGTCATTTAATTTTAATAAACATAGTTTTATTTCTTTTCTGTTTTTGTAGTATGGATTATCATTGGTCTAATCACTGACAGGTAGTATCAGTTTGATTGTCCCGTGTCAGTTAACGAATTTTTAATAGCTTTCTTCCGCAAGTAGAAGTTTGTTTGATCGTCAGTATGGGGTTGTGTGGATTGTTGAATTTTATTGAAATCATGATCCGATATAAATTAGACCACCACTGAAAACCTGGAAATACTGGACGCCCGTGACGAGTGGAGGTAAAACGTGTCAGGCGTAAAACAGTTACCCACAAAAGACAATAGATTACGGTGGTGCTGTGTTGTAGTTTAATTAAAGTTAGACAGTAAGAGTGTTGGATGCTGGCTCAGTGGTTTAAAAATTAGGCGTTCACGCGCAAGACTGAAGATCTTGGGCTCGATTCCTGCCTTCAGGGTCATGGATCCGGACTAACAAGGAGTCTCATACGAGGACAAAACGTCAATCTAGTGCTTCCAGTCTTTCAATGGTGGTCTAACTTAAATCGTCTCACAATTTCAATGTTATTATTAATCGCTTTCATTTTCCAAATTTTCTGAAATCGTATTCAATTATGTAAATTTCAAATACTGTTTATTAATGATCATTAACTATCTTACTGTTAATTATTTCCTTAGAAATTCAACGACATTTCTCATAGGAACTTTCAATTACATTTATACGTAAATAAAGATTTATCATAAGTAACAATAAATAATTTTATTCGAGTTGATTTATTTATTTATTGAATTGTATGTGCCATTGCATCATTTAGCAAGAAGAGTTTAGATATAGTCTTTAAAGAAAGCATTAAATAGCTAATTTTACACAGTTATCCCGATCAATAAATTAGAATAAAGTAAGAATATACGTAGATTCTCGTCAACTGCTTACAACCTAGAGATAATGGTAATAATTATGTATAACCAATGTACATACTTTATATCATATTAATGAAGATTTTTAGAATAATGATAAAGAGTATGGAGGTGTTATCAACAGTGATAAAGTAGATGCATATTTATTTGATCACGTATGGACGTTCCGGAATAAAATATTTTTGAAACATATGGAGACACGTTTCTAGAGAATGAATATTGATGCTAAAGTTCTGTAATAACAACCATAAAGTTTGATAGAATAACAGAGTAAGGCAAGTGAAGCTCGAAAGAAAACCTAAGAATGAGAAAGGAATTTTTCATTACGAATTTGAAATAAAATATTACTTAATCGATAAGGGTAGTGAGAGATTTACAACTGTTTTCTTTTTTTAATAGCTAATTATCAAGTACACCAATGCTACTTAACTTCATCTATAAGTTTACTATCATACTCAAGAATTGATTAACTTGACAAAATTCATAGCTTCATACTAGATGTCTGACAAATAATCTTGAAGATAATCATTGACTGAATGCCGTTTTGTTAAAACTAGTTGTTTAGTTTTCCTTAAATCTAAGTTTGTCTAATTCGTCATGGCAACTTCAACCGACGCACACATGTATCAGGTTCTACGTTGTGTTTAACTGACTGATAATTGTAGTTCCTTAAATAGGAACTCCAAATCAAATCATCAAAAGGGAGTTTGGATAAGAGTGAGTGTGTGTGGAGTAGTGACTTGTTTAAAAAATGATGCTTCTAAAATCACTTTCGTATGAACGCTTATGATATTAATCAGTATAGGGGTTGTGGAGATTATTAAGTTTTTGATTGAGATCATGGACCGATTAATGTTAGACCACCGATGGAAACCTGGAAGGTCGTTTCGTCCTATTTTGGGACACCTCAGCAGTGCTCATCCACGATCCCGCTTGTGGGATTTGAACCCAGGGCCTTCAGTGTCGCGCGTGAACGCCTAACCTACTGGACCACTGTGTCGTCATGACAGTGTCAGTGTCTCTCAATTTTGTAACGTTAAAATCATAACTTGGCAACTAGATCGTGGGTTATTTCTGTAGCTAAAAATAAACTTCTATTTAACTTGTATCTAACGCCCACTTCATCGAATCGAATTCAATGTGAATCATAAAACTAAGATTTTTTATAAGTATTTTTGTTTACATTATTCGATAGACTTTGTGTTTTTTAAAATATTGGTGTCTGTTTTTATCTCCTTGCAATAGGACAGTAGAGTATCCGCCTTGAAAGTAACGTGTCTAATATCCTGTTCGTAATAAATAAATATTACAAGTATCAAGAGAGTCAAAATTGATTGTTCATTCTTAATATTGTTATTGACACATAACCCATTTCCTTTAATTTATGAGGACAATTACTGTTTGTTAGTTTAAAAATACAACGTTGTTTTCTACCAAATAACTTAATATTATGGCTTCTAGTTACAGTGAAAACGAAAATTGTATCCCAGTCAGATTTCTTTAATTCTATTTCTTATATATATCCAACTACAAAAATACGACATGATCAGATGTACAAGATTCTCGATTCAACCTTTCTAATTCTAAACACTACCTGCACAAAAATAGATCATATTCATCTTCAAAATCTCCTTAATACAAGTTTTCATTATTAACTGATTTTACTAATTACTTGTACATGGTCATTTAAACTGTCTGTCTGAAATCATTGAAATTACGAAGATGACGGTCTAAAAAACAAATAAACTTGCCTCGAATTCTGGTATTTCTAATTCTCATGTATGTGTATATTAATCAAAGTTGGTCATCTCATGGCAGTCTTGTTGTAACTAACCTAAGGTCCATTTTGTTGATCTTAATATACTGCTAATAATTATCAAAACTTGGATTAATATAATATTAATAATGCTTCTATTGTGTGATGTGTTCTCTGAACCATTTAGTTTAATTACTAAGCTATTGTTTTCGTTCTTGATAACAGAAGTAAACTTTTCAGTTATTCCCTCAGCTTTAAATTAGTTCTTTTTTATTGCCTCTGTTGTAATTCTTCGTCCTTATTTGTCTTTTACATTCTTGTTGTTTACCATTAATCAAATTTTCATAAATTATATCATTTTCTGTTTTCCTTTGTTGTATTGTCTTAAGAATCTTTGACAGCATGTTCAGAAGTCAATAAAAGTTGGCTAAAATACGCTCGACATCCTGATTTATATCGACACTTTTGTATGCTACCAAAATGGTCCTCACCTATTCTAAGAAAACCACAATTATTCAATTGTATAACAAAATCCAATGAATATAATTATCGTGTAGAAGAGAAAAATTTACAAAATTCAAATAATTTTATAAGCAACGATTTAAATATTAATGTAAGAATTTCAAGTGTTTATTTCTAGGTTATCGTTTTTCATATGTCAACCATGTGAGAATGTGAATTCTCTACGCAATCAATAAACAGCATCTATATGTGCTGAAGCCATATGTAGATGTCATAACGGACAGAAAAATAGAACACTAACTGTTATTCGAAGCGTTACATTCAGTGAAAGTTTATTAAATGTTTTTTTTATCATTATATCCCAGTATATTGTTCTGTATGCAAAATATAATTTCCTATATTCTCTTCCTTATACTCTTTACACACCTGTTTACTGAACAGTAATATGATGAGTTATAATTGAGGAATTGTTTTATTCATTAATATTCATTTCTTTTCTAATCATCACAACTCGGTCACAATCCACAGCAACTCTTATCGATCAACACAAAATCGAACTGAAGTAGGTAAATTAAATTCGAATGTGTAAAAGTGTTAAAATTTGGTTGCATCCACCAATTTATAGCTAATGACTGAAGTCAATTGAAAATCCAGATGATGTACGGAATTTTATTAGCATTGCCTTCGATGTTTGATCATTTTCAATTTTCACGATAATTTCTTCTCTGCGTGCTGATATGATGTAGCAACTTGAACTGATGCACATGTATGCCAAGTTCTACATTGTATATGATTGATTGAATGATTGTAACAAATAGTAAAGCACAAATCTAAAAATATATGTTTCAAAGAAACTAACTGTTTTACTATAAAACCTAATGATCTGACACTTCTCAATTTTCTTATTTGCTTTCTTTTTCCTGTGTATAGATAACATATGAAAATACTGCTAGTTTAATTAGTTGTGTTATTTAAAATTTATTGTCATTTAATTGTATTAGCAATTGTTTAACTATTAAATTACTCGAGTTCATATTTCTATCCAAATTTGATTTGTATAACCTGATGGTGTCGCTAAAACTGTTTCTCAAAGCTGAAACCAAATGACTGTTTATAGTGATTAGTTGACTTCTCGTTTAATCATATTTTATTCTTGGTGTAAATTGCATATAACTTGTATTAATAAATAAACTTATAAATTGTCTTATGTAACCTTGAGAAAAAATAAAATAAATAATTAGTCTCAGTATTATATAATTCATATATTTCTCCTCAGTGTTTTGTTGGAGACAGCAGTTATACTCATCCTTAGGTTTCACTTACTTGAATTTGAACTGAGGTTGCTCTTGTAAGGTTGATGGTGGGAAGAGTCCTTTCTCCCTCTCGAAATGCGCTCATACAGCCATGTATTTGTAATGTTTACCAAGAAACTTGTACTCACTGTCTTTACACTACTGAGAGTTTTATATGAGAACGACAGGTCAAAGTCAAACATCTGACTTCTAAACCAAGTTGATGGATACAGAAGATTTACGCATAGGGCTATTTGATAAATTATGTTAATGTAGTCACAAATGTAATTAGTAAATTTGATGAACTAGAGTTTACATTTCTGACGGAAAAGTGTATTTTAATTTTTTTTCTTCAGTAGTCAACGATTGTTGATTATTTTATTTTTATAATGCACATATTTTACACTTAAACGTTTTGCGTATTATCTTTACTTCACATTCATTAGTGGTTAAATGTATTCAAGAAACGTGTGTGTCTAAGACGTAATTTCCGTTTGGGCAAACATAGAATACGTAAATTTAATGGACATAGTGGAGGTATGTATTAGTTGTCTTTGTACCATTTTAGTTCTCACTACTTACTTACTATATAGTGTAATTTTCAGTTCAAGCACTTGTTTACTAAAAATCTAGAAAATTTTCTGCATGAAAAAATCGTCGATTGGTAATTTAACTTCTCAAAATTGTTATGATTTTTACATTTCCTATTTATGTGGTGTGTAGGGATGGCCTTCGGTGAACTCAAGGAAGCTCTAAAAAAAGCCGAAGATATTCCATCTAATCATCTTTCGAAAGAACATTCCGGGATCTCGACGTGTAGCTTCCCGGTTGGATGAATGTTAGAAGCCACTACATGCGGATTGGATTACTGCAACAATGATTTCATTTTTACTAAAAACTAAAAATACCTGAGTGTTTTGTACCACATTTGACACTGTTAGGATTAGCACTTCTTCCTACTCGTCTCCTGTTTTCTAACCTGCGACTTGGACGGTTCTAGCGTTCGAGTGCTCAAGTTGTAGCAAAAATATAAGCTCTAGATTATAACATGATGAAATATAGATTTTTATATTTAGTATCCAGCTATATCTTTTATGTTTGGTTTAGGTGTACTATCCGAACCAGGTGAAGCAATTTTGTGTGTGGAATGTAATTGTCGAAATTCGATTGCTGTCAATAAAGCATTTTTTCAAAGAAATTTAAAGTTGATTACTTTAGTCGCTCAAAAATCACGATCGCCAGTGGATACGAATTTGTGACTTTGAGATTGCTAATTCACTTAACTATCAAATAAATAATCAAAATTTGGTATTATTTATCTTTTTATTTTAGTACTGTCCACTAGTTGGTATAAACTCCCTATTCATTTTTCTTATCATTGTTTATTTATTTATTTATTTGAACACATAAATATTGGTACAGGGGGGCACCAAATATATATGCGCCACACAAAACAGTGATAATTAGAAGAGAAGGAGAAAAGAGAAGAAAAAAAAAAGTAATGAACGTGGGGAATTATAAAAAAAAAGAAGAGAGAGAGAGAGAACAATGGTGGGGGAAACGGAAAGGTACAATCAGAACAGATCTTTCAGTTAAGGAAGAATACGACCACCTTTTTATGAAGAAAGTAAAAGAAGGTTACAGCAGGATCGCCACTGGCTTCTATTCTGAGCCATATCTGATAACGTCTCTAGCCACTGCGTTACACCATCTCTCGGACCCCAACCAGGGAGTCGTGAAGGACCAACATAAGCTAGCCCTTTGCAGCTTTCTTTCATACCACGACACCATGTCATATACTGACCACCTCTCCGCTTTTTCCAACCAGTCCCAGAGTCGGCAAATAATGCACGACGAGGAATTCTCTGGGACGACATTCGTAGAACATGTCCAAGCCACCGAAGTCGGTGTTTCAAGATGGTGACACCAATTTCATTATCGTCTCTGTGACCGAACACTCGATGCCGAACCTCTGCATTACTGACATGGTGTTGCCACTGGATGCCAGCAATCCTTCGGAGGCAACGATGATCGAACACAGAGAGTCGTCGAACATCCTCAACTCGGAGAGGCCAGGTTTCACAAGCATAGAGCAAAACTGCTCTCACCGTCGCGTTGTAGATCCGACCTTTTACAGCCAGACTAACATCACGAAGGCGCCAAAGATGGCCCAGATTGGCATAAGCCGCTCTGGCTTTCACTATACGTGCATTGATCTCATCACTCACGCCACCACCAGCACTTATGCAGCTACCTAGATACACGAACTTCCATTTCTTATCATTGACTATACACCCTGCCTGTTTTTACTTTTTTGTACGGAGTCAAACGGATTTGTATATTATTAGTTAATAACCTGTTGAATATTAGATTATATAGGTTAGTGTTCATCGTCAAACTGGATTAGCTATTTATTTGTTACCATTATTATCATCACTATTTGTTATAACTTGTGGTCTGTGTGCCCTGTTAATGTATACTTAACGATACCGCCAATTAGGGAGGGAGTGCCTTGTCGATCGGATCAATGACGCGTAAAACACGTGCGAGCAGCCTACAGTCCTGATTAGTCCTGCTTTCCGCCTAACCCAGCCAGTTAAGTCCAGAACACCAATCCGAGCCTCTGCAATATAAATCATGTATTTCAGACATACTCGGTTTATATACCAATCAAACAGACCACAACGTACCATAAAATAGAAAATAACGTTTGTACAATATTTGGCTAAATGTGGCTGTGAATGTGGGAGGCAGTGACTAATGGACAGGGCATAATTCAAGAATGGTATAATGTATAATAATGGTTCATAGGTCAAAATAAAGCTCATAATAAGAAGAATATGAATATGAATAGTTCACTTATTCAACAATTATACGATAAAAATATACGTTTAGTATTGGTCTATAAATGGATCCAAAGGCTACCATTCATTATGCTTATCGGGACGTAACACTAATATTATAGCCATTTTGGTACTCGACGCTATGAAAATCTGAATTGCTACATTGTCAGTGTAATGACCTTTATAGGTCAATAGTCACGACTTGGTGAATATCACTATGAATAAATTACAAGTTGCTGTATTGAGATAAATTGAATGGGTTTTCAATTAATTCTATCACCCAATTTAACAAGTATTTAACACTTTCCTTTAATCTTATCCATTATTTTGAACGTCGAAACTATATTCTTATCAATCTTTTAGTCTATTCGTACTGCATAAATTACTCTATTTTCTGATGGTAGCTGAAGTAGTTAGTAAGAAAATATTATAATCGAAATATTCTTCTTGTTTGTTATCATCGTTATTATTTTATGTGTAGCATGCGTTCCAAAATCCTTCAGTTATACACTTGAGAATGTGTATAATTAGTTCTACATTCAACTTTTGTCCTATGGTTATCTATAATATTGTGGTGCGCGCTACTTATATTGATATAAGTAGTATATGGCGCGAGTTTTAAACGTAATGTCTGGCAGCAGAAGATGGGGGAAGATCAAGGAAGGAAGAGCGGGAACACAATGGAATTTGTATGGAAACTCATGAACAATGAAATGTCAGACAATCGATTGATGTTTGCAATAGGAGCAGTTCGGTTTGATATGATGGATTGGTATTTTGCAAATTAACGATTTACTATATGGTTGTTAGATTTTAGTAACTAGTTCTGTAATTTGTTGTAAAGTATATTCGATCGTTCCCCATTGGTGATCTGTTCACTACAATATGACATTGGTTTAATCTGATTTATTTTCCTGAATTTTCTCTTTAGCCGTTTATTGTATTGATTGCGATGCTTATCGCATTGTTAGTGGATCAGCTGACGCAACAATACGCGTATGGAATATTCGTACAAATGCAAAATGGTCTGTTCAAACACTTCGTGGACATTCAGATGCTGTTCGTTGTGTACAGTTATTATCCTTACCTCATTATCAACCAAATAATAATAACAATATCGATGGTTATTGTTCCTCTCCTCCTGTACATTGTATTCACGAGTCAATTGCATCAATACCATGTTCTTTATGTAAATTAGATACAACTGTTACATATCCTAATTGTTGGGAACCACCTGAAGTACTATTAATATCTGGTAGTGCAGATACTACTTTAAAATTGTGGCGTCTTTCTGCAACATCTAATTGGTCACGTATTGCATGCACATGTACATTGCAAGGTCATACTGACACTGTAAGATGTGTACAGGTATGTGAATATAATTTATTCCACATTTTAAGAAATTATATCATATTCTGATTTGATGAATAAACATGTCAACTATTATTCATTAGACTTATTGAAAAGTTTATATATTGCAATGAACACTGTGTATTATTGTATGTTAATATGATCATGGTTGACGGTTTATAATAATTCACTTTTTGGAATCAACAGTCCTCGTAACCTCAAAAATGGAGCGACATATTCACTAGAAAATGCGCTTAACATTTCACTAATGTGACTAAATTAAATGAACATACAAGTTCGCATTGTTAGCTCTTTTACTAGATATTTATTCCTACAACGTGTCTGCCCTTATAGATATAAAGAAAAACAACGTGTAGAGTATTGGGATAGATATAAAATTATTTCTCAGTGAATAATTCATTTTTATTTGTTAACTGACATTTGTATTGATTTAGCATTCCATTAAAACCTACTGTTTAGTTTGTCATATTTTGTGAATTTTTTATAGAATATCTCATATACTCCTTGTATATGAACATATTGAATAGCTGGTTAACGCTTTTACAATTAAATGAATCTTGAAATTAACAATTTTTACATTCATATTAGTACAAAAAGAAATCTAGTATACATAGTAGAGCGTTTATGTTGGCAATCAAACGATTTTTACTAGTTCAAGATAAATGAGTAAATCTTTTTCGTCTTAGCTTATATCCTCTATGGAATCTTGAATTAAAATAAGAGTATCACTTATACTACCAGCAAATCGTTTTCTGTGCTTTCAAAGGGGTTCAGTTTATTGTATATAAAATGTGAACTTCGTTCTTCTAAAAGTTTTACTAGATCATTGTTAGTATATCTTGCATTAATTCGGTGAAATACTACAAAACGTTTTCTGTACATTCGATTTCCATCTCCTACAAAATTATATTTCCGTAGTCAACAAAATAACGCAATTACAATCTTGTGTTTATTAACGAAACCGTTTTCACAGCGAAATTCAACAATTCTTTTCTATTATAAATCATTTGATGAAATCACCCAGTACTATTTACTCCTTTTCAGAAATTATTATTTTAAGAAAGCCTAAAAGTTTATTCACGTACAGATCTTTGACGTTTAATGTTATTAATTCATGCCCTATTCATTATCTGATCACGATGATTTATTCATCTGTTTACGTTCATATAACTATGTGTTAAAATAACTTATGGAAATACTTAGATGAAAATTAGTTTACTAATTGTGCATTAAACATTTAATTACCTTCCTAGTTCAGTAATAACTATTATCAACTATTGAAAACAGTTATCAGTTTTTCCCCAGTTTTCTCTTAATGATTTACATATTCCTCTTGTTACTATAACTAACGACTTCAGTTCAATCTCGACTTGATCGAATAAAGTTTATTCCAATATACATTCACAGACAGGAGTATAGCAGAGTAATCAGACAGAATCATTTAAAAATGAAAATTCTCACATCCAATCAAAGCACTTTATGCTACTTGGATTTGAACTAATCAGATTTCAAATATACACGGTTTACAGCCAATTAACAAATTATTACAGGCGACAAAATGTTTTTTTCTAAATTTTTTAATCATACTCTAAACTTTCTCATCAATGGGTAGTTGGAAATCACAATCACCATGTCATAGTTGTCAACCCTTCTAATACTGCTTTGGGGCTGACAAGTGGTGGAGAATAAAATCTATGGGTTTCTACCTTTTTTTCATATTTCGAAAAATTACTGGTGTGATTGGTCCGATCTCGCTTTTTTAATGTGGTGTTGACCAATGATGTTTAACTAATACCCACCGTTCTTTATTGCAATGTAATTGGTTGATTTCCATTGAGAATGAGTAGTTGTCATTCGGTGGTTTGTATTTTCATAAAAAGTTCTCGGTCGTTTTGACTATTTGGAAAAATACATTTTTTAAGTAGCCAAATTTTAATTATAAGTGAACGAAGACAATTGATGGCATTCAAATTCTATCCACTAAAAGACAGAATATTAGTTATCTAACACTCAATCAATGAACATGGTAGTTGTCAACAAGTCAATGCTGAACGCTTGTTCAAACATGTACAACAGTTAATTCTGTGTGAAGTAACATTGAAAGTGAGTTAATTTGGGATGTCAACAAAATTCTACATGTAAAATATGTAAATTCATTTTTTGTATTCGTTGTTTGAATCTTCAAATTGATGTTTAGGACTGCAATTAATCAGTCTCTTATTGGTATATGTGCATCCTGTGCGGATTGCCTTAATTCATGAGCATAATGATCAAAGATGAGTGATAGCTAACAGTTTAAACCAGGACACACATTTCATCCGATTTAGGACTCATCAGTTGGATGTACCTGCACCCCAGATTTGATGCGTCACCCCGGGACTCGAACCCAGTACCGTTCGCTTCAAACGCCATCTCGTCATCCACTTATCTACTAAGTTCAGATAGCCATTAGCTTGTGCGATGGGGTGAAGTTTAAATACTTTTTGTATTGTCCTATTGACGAGTCTTAAATAGGATGAAACGCGCGTCCTGAAAAATTTTCTTCTAGACAATGTCGTTTTGTTAAGCTATTCAATTGTATTTACGAGTAATCTAACCATTTATAGTCCATAATAAACCGGAAGGCTGTTGCGTCATTGAATAAATGTATTGTGGATTATCAAACACCCTTTTTAAATTCGTGAGAAATGTAGAGATGTTGCATAATTTAATAATATAATGATGATTATCAATGTGTACTACATAATTTAGTAAAGTAATTGAAAGTAATCAACGTTCTTAAGTATCAGATATATTAAATCATTATATTAAGTAATCAAATGTTTCACGAATCCGACTGAATTTGTGTAATAATCTAAGTGGCATTAAGAAATTATTAACTTATGAAGGAAGTGTAAAAGTTAATTGGTAAGTGCACATTGAGATGAATCAATGACGAATGAGGCCCATGGTAAAAAATATATGATACACAGATCAGTGTATAAATCACTGTGGTAACAAAATAAAAATTGAATACGTAATTACTGTTTGTGAAGTTTGCCTCAGTGTTAATTGAATGTAAATTAGTAACTGTTGTCTTGAGATTGTTTTCACAAAATATTTATCACATATTTCAATATTTTCAATTAACAAGCTAGGCAACCCTATATCTCACATAATTTGCGCCTTATATTATTGTTCAGCTCAGTATTTCAGACTACCAAATTATGTGATAACTATTTTTTTAAAAAACAGTATCGAAACAATAATTAAGAACTACATTAAGTGTAGTATATAGCTGGGCGGTAACAAATATAATATTGGTTTTTTAGCTGTGGTTGCTTACATTACAAATTTGCATTCTGTAACCATGGCGAATGAATTATAACTGTTCACAAATGTAAATGTTATTAGCTTTATTTCAGCGGTGAAATGAGATGATTTTCATTTGTTCTTTATTCATTCGAAATAGTGACATTTTTGTAGTTCTATCTTATGGGATCATTTTCAGTAAAAGAGTTAGGTAGATCACCATTTTAGACCTGCAAGCACTGGACAACTGTTTCACTGTAGTATATAATAATCTTAATTTTTTATTATCGGATTATAAAGTCAGTTAATCTGTCAATAGTTCACAAATCATTTCTCAAATGTGAACACCATATTAATGATCTGTCGCTATTATCATTCTTCATATTCACAAAGTAATAATGTTTTTTCACGCATTAATGAAAGTCATATCAAACAGATAATTAATACTATTCGAATATTTACTGACTGATATTCATCAACTGCTTGGCCTTAAATAGGTAAATCTGTCTTCTAAAACTACTGATCCCAAAGGAAAGGGCAAGTTATAGAACCTCATTAATACGGGAATTCATACTTTTTATTAAGCAGTCATACTGGATCTTTTTTATGGTATATGTAACACGCAGTAAAACAGTTAGTAGATTGCTATTTCTATCGAGTTACAGGACTGTTATTAATGGATTGAGTAACAAAAATAAGCCTGAAAGTATTAAATCAAATTGTTGAAAGGTCTCTAATAGGGCCATGTTGCGTTCTCATTGAATTCTCGTTGATACCTACTATGAAAAATATTATTAACTTTGGTATTCACATACAGAACCTATAACTATATATCATAACCGTAACAGTTCATACACAAGAGGTCACTACCGGCTGTTCTTGTAGAACAGGAAAGATAACTAAATGTTCTACATCTCGAACATCTCACCCCTTCACTAGAATCATTTGCGGCCCTTAGCGGTTGGAAAAAAAATGGCATCCAGCACAAATATCAACATTGTTGTATTGGATTTAAGTCTTGATACGCACAACGAAACAGGAGTATGTAGGCATACAGAGTTATGACGAGTTCATAAGAGGAATGAAGATACTGCTTACTTCTATTATTTATCACCGGTTCTTAGTATATGTTCGGCATAATTAATGTGAATCATTCGTTAAAACCCCAGTACAACAGTTCTTCTTATTACTACTTGTAAATAACACCAAAGTATAAAATTTAAAATACGTAATAGTTATCTTTCTTTTTTATACTGTAGAATATGTTTTCTGAAAAAACCAACAATTCATTCCGATAGTGAAATTCAACTTTTGAACTATTGTTTTAGAGCGTGTAAATTTTATCATTCATCTATATTGTTAAAATCTAGTTCATATGTATCCTATATTCTAATAATTAGTTTAGATTTCATTTATGCAAAGTGATGATCACTATATCGCACAGACGTTACCTCATACATAATAATCACCATTATTGTAAGTGACTAACTTGCAACTTGACCGACATAGTCCGATTAGCAATGACGACATAACTATGATTTATACATAATCATCAATTAATATGATTCAGTTATACGGAAGATAAACAGTAGTAACCTAAATAGCTTATTAATAATATTTGGGATTGATAATGATAGATACAGTTTCGAATTCTACACAAAGTTTCAACACTCTTAGTATTAACAGTGAAGCTCAACTGATGAAGTATCTTTTTATTGAATACTATAGATATAATATACTTCAGTGTAAATGAAAGCGTTTTGTTTTCATTTATCTTCTGAATTAATTCATAATCACATTTGAATAATGTAATAATCAGAAATATAATTTCACACATTATAATCATTAAAGTTCTAGATTACAATTTACAGTGAGCTGATCCGTTGTATAAAATGGTTATGATATTCCCTTAAAAATAACTGATTTCAAACTGCATTATTTTTGTTAAATGAAGTGAACATTGTAAAGTTTTGATATGAACAGACTTTAAGTGTGTGTTTGTGTGTGATCAACATTAGCTTCATGTATTCTGAAATCTAATCGTGAAGTATACTTCCTGAGTCTATATTTTATAATAATTTCAGAGATTATATTGTGCACTATTTTAATATCATACGTTAGCGTAACGTGTGTTAATTGGGATCCAATATAGGTTGAAATAACTTTGCAAAACATCATGAATTTTCGATCAATGAACTTGAGAACTTTTTTTGCATTTAAAATTGAATGAGGTCGTTATTAAATATTTGTTAAACCTTAATATTCCAGCATAAATAAGCCTCATCATCAAGTTTGACCAACTATTCATGTATCAGATCTACATATGCTAATCACATCTGTATTCCACAGACCTATAGACTGCATAGCTAAAATCAGAGTTCTTTTTGTAAATTGCTAAAGTTTCATTTCGAACTCGTTTGACAATAGATTCACAGCATTTATGAATTATTCATCACTTATATTGTAATGAACGATAACGCAGCTCGGGACAACCAATTGTATTTTAACATATAATTACAGAGTTCTTTCACCAAATGTGCAAAACATACATTCAGTACTTCATTTGCGAATCCTCCATCGCTTGTCTCAAACTTCATCGTCCCTTCATTTCCACAACAGTTACTCTGTGTTCCCATTCTCTTTGATTCGTTCTTTTCAACCTTTCGCTGCCAGGCATTCCACTTCCCATCGATGTTATATACTACTTATGTCGACATAAGTAGCACATACTATAATATTTATTTTCTCATATATATATATATATATATATATATATATATATATATATATATATATTCATTATCTTTTTTGTCACGTAAACTCCTTATTCATTCAGTCCGCAGTTCATTGGTCTCACATTATTGGTAGATTGAATGAAAGTTAAATGTTCTGGCAATACCGATTAAAATTCATCTATTATTGGTTTAAATATTTTAAGAGTTTGATTTAATTTTGTTTTATTATTTAGGCTGATCATGAAAAAGTTATCAGCGGTTCATATGATTGTACGATACGGTTATGGAGTATAATCAGTGGTCAAATGAAAAGGATTTTCCGGTGAGTGTATTATATATATTTCAGTATTCTCGTTATATCATCACAACAGATATAACACATAGATATTGTTATGATTTCCTACTTAATCTGTACTTTAAGTTCTCTAACACCGTTACTGTGTAGTTGTAACCGTTGACTGCCCACACAGTCTCATCTGCTCACTAAACTACCAAACAAAATACCTGAAAGACCATGCAATGACCTAGTAGTATTCTGTTCTTTTCAGACTTAAAGTTTTTAACGTAAAATACAAGATCAACCCGTTTCATAAATAAAAAGTCTCAGTATGTACATAACTAGGATATTTCTAGCAAAAACTTAGGTAATAGATTTATGGTTAATTAATTGTAATTTATAATTGATAAACGATGTTCCAACAGTCAAAGATTCAAAAGAGTTTACAATTATGACAATATAAAAACCATGAAATGATTATCTAACAAGCGTATATATATATATATATATATATATATATATATATACCACTGTCCTAAGAACAGCCTTCAAATTGTCTTTTTTTTCTATTATTAGTTGACATTCAGAGAATTTTAAAAATAAAAGTATTCTTACTTCTGTTTTGTTCATAGCGGTCACTCAGCTGGTATAACGTGTTTAGTGTACAGTGGTAATTTTTTATATTCTGGATCTTTAGATAATACAGTTCGGGTAAGTTTCTTGATTGATCGATAAAAATAATACTAATTATTTTTGAGACAAATACGAATTTTTATGATAAATATGTATTTTTTGATAGCTCGATGAGTAGAAAAGTGTAATTCTGACTTCTCGTGAATTAAACGTAAATAAATAACACAAGCTTAAATAGTCCAAATGATACAATGCAGAATATAGTCTGCATAGTCAAAATCATAATAGATGTGAATACATCAATGTCAAGTTATTTTTGCTCAAAGTGAATTCGGTATCGGCGGCCTGCTTGAATATCTGGGCTACCTGTTTCTGCCATCTAGTTATTTCAAAAAGTTATCTTTTTTTCTTCTTGTTTTAACGTCTCATTATGTTCACTAATCGCATAACCTATACAGGCGCGTTTATGAAAAGCCTACGACCTTTCGCTGCACAAGTTACAAAAAACTACGATAAAAAACATCCTGGTGGTTGGCAATATGCGTTGAAGAGAATGAACATCAATCGTATGTTGATTCCCGAGTTGCTAAATTCTAACTGCCGATCATTAATTAACAAGATAGACTATCTTCGATTCCTACTTAGTCAAAATATGTATCGTAATTGTGGTGTAATCACAATTCAAGAATCTTGGTTAGACGATTTACAGGACGACTGCCTAGTATCCCTGCGTGATTTCAAAATTTATCGTCAGGATCGATCAAACGATAAAAAGAGGTGTGGCGGCGGTGTAGCTACTTTTGTAAACGTGAACTAGTGCCGATCTGCGTTTGCGTGTTTCAAGTTTTCAAATGACTTTATCGACTGTCTAACTCTAAGAAGCCGTCCAAAACATCTGAATAAATACAAATATGTTTATGTTACCAATATCTATGTGACCCCAGACTGCACATCATCTGCGCTATCTGTCTTCGCTGATGAATTCACTGAATTCGCTGTTACTGCCTTCAGTGATTCACTTTCAGTTGTATGTGGTGATTTCAATTAATGTGACTGTAGCTTCCTTACATCGCTAGGTCACCAAAATGTAGTAGATTTTCCTACTCGGTTGGATGCTCATTTAGACTTCGTTTTCATTAATGATATAGGTATATATGTGACTCGTAAACGTGCCCCATTGTCTAGCTCGGATCACTGTATAATTCGTGTTCTACCTAAAGTATATGGAAAGCATGGGAAAAGTACACTCTTAAATCAAACCAAGAAAGTCGAATATAGGAATTACTCAGAAGAAAATATCCGAAATCCGAAAAACATGTTTCATACGACTAACTGGGCATTATTTACAGATGACTTACTGGAAATCACTTCTAATGTTATCACTTGTTACCTTAAATTCTGTTTTGATATTTGTTGTCCCACTGAAACTATTTTTGTAAGTTTTGATCGACTTACATCTTCACAACTAAAACGACTACGGAGGGTGAAAGAAAGAATGTACAAGGAGAAAAACTCTAGTGAAGTTCGTAAGCTAAATGGTCTGATAAACCTCGAGATTAGTCGTCTCAACACTATGTTTACTCAAAAACTCTTGTCTTGTAAAAACTCTTCAAGTATGTGGAAACTCTTTAAAGACAGATTAAGACTCATAACCAGCTGGATGTTTGTGACAAATAAGTCATCTTTACGTAAGTCATCTGATGTGATGCTCCCTTTATTCACGGGTTTAAAAAATAGCTGTGTTCCTAGTTTCACTGAAACTGATGTCTGAAAATTTCTCCAGTCACTAAATTCATCCCGATGTTTGGGACCTGATGGTATCCCAAACCTCCTTTTTAAAAAGTGTGCTGACGTCCTATGCTATCCATTCGCTACTATCTTTAACAGATCCTTCTCTTCTTATCTCATACCGTAAATTTGGAGAAAGATGAAGATAATCCCTATACCCAAGAAAGCATCTGGTATTAAGAATGTGAAATTCAGACCCATTGAAATAATTTCACCATTCCTCAAAACAATGGAAAAATTATTGTCACTTTCACTTCAACCTGCGATAAAAGAGCACATTGACCAGTATCAGTTTGCTCATAGATGCAAAAGAAGCTCCTTAGATGCTGTCACTGTTCTGCATCATAATATAGTGTTCAACCTAGAAAAGGGTAAGAAGTATGTTCGATGCGCTTCCCTGGACTATACTTCTGCTTTTGATTTTATATCAAGACAATGTTTACTTAATAAGTTAATCAGCGTCAACACTGACAGCTGGATAACCAAATGGCTATGTTCCTACCTCTCTAGAAGGGAACAGTACACTGTGTTTGAAGGAAAGTGTTCAGAGTCTCTAGTGTCTTATGAAGGTGTACCACAAGAAGCTGTTCTTTCACCTCTTCTTTTCTCTTTTTTTCTGCATGATCTGCCATTTTCCACAGTAAACACTTTTGTGAAATATGCGGATGATCTCACTATTTGTATGCCTATCTCTTCCTCTTTACATCCTATAGAAATGAAGGAGCTTTTGTCTAGCATTGATAGTTGGTCTGTTGTTAATGTTCTCATGATCGGCATTTAAACCCCATTTTGAGATCCCATGATGCTTGTGTCGTTGGTGACTCATTGATAAACAGTGTCGACGATCAATTATCTTGGTGTTACCTTTTCCTCTGATCTCTCTTAGTCTTCTCACGTTTCATTGTTATCGAAGAAGGTTTTCCGTCTAACTTATTACATTAAGAGATTGCATGCTCTTGGGATCACTCGTCATTTACTCCTACAATTTATCAGTTCTTGTATATTACCTATTATTCTTTCCCGGGCTTTTGAGAAAAGACTTTGCTGTACTGCGGAGAGCGCTGAAGGCAGTTAGCAAGGTGTGTGGTAAATCTTTCGAGACCATAATTAATATGGTTGTGAATAGACATCCAAAGTCATTCAAACTCCTGGCAGGTGTTATTTTATCAGATACTAACCATCCCCTTCACTCATATCTTTCTCCTTGTATATCTTCTGGTAGAACAAGACGAAATTACTTTAAAATCCAAGCACGTAAGCAAAAGTATAAAAGTTCTATAAAACCTTACCTAGCAAATATACTCTGTGACGAACAGGTTGTTAGAGTTAACCTAGTCAATAATCTGCATTCTTAACATGACTCTAATTAGAAAGTTGTACAGCTTTTTCAGATTTTTAAAAAAATTATTTTTAGTAACCTTTTTTTGTAAAAGAAACTTGTTGAAATATTTTTTGTGCTGAGAATTCTATATTGTACCAAAATATAATATTGAATAAAGCCATAAATAAATAAAATAAAATAAATAACCTGTCACTGTTGATCGGTTAGATTATTTGAATAGTATGATAAGAATGGTAAGGATTATCAGAACTATGTGGTATATTAGCGAAATACATTTCAAACAATCTGATCACACATATACTTGTTATTAATATTTATATATAAAAATATAAAGGTCAACTAAACAAATGGGGGGTCAAGAGAAAACAAAGACAATCAAGAAGAAAATATGAAAAACAATGTGAAACTCATCAAAGTGGATAGTTAACTTATATTACCAGGGTAGATTACACTAATATCTCATATAGTTCTGATAATCTTGATTTTCTCATTACGCTATTTAAATTTATCAAAGGGTTAGATAATTGTTTTGAATCCAAATAAACTAACAAACAGGTACAAATAAAACATTAGATTCGCAGACATATATTATATCTACGATCTTAAGTAATAATTCTTATTAAAATAACACCTCATATTTATTATTGATAGTAATTATTGTAATTAGTATAGTTGTCAGTTGATTTTAATAGTAAACAGATTTTTATGGGGATTTCCTCTTAAGCAAATATATGATAATGCTATTTTGATCTATTGGTTTATTTGAACACATAAATATTGGTACAGAGGGGCACCGAATACACATACGCCCCAAAAGTGTGTGGGCCGTGATATTACCCGTGTGCCAAGTCTGTAACAGGTGGTTTTCTTAGGAGACCACACACGGAGCATTCGACCTAAAGATCTGATCCACAAGGTAGTGGAGCATCGTCAAGAGATCCTGTCCCATGTTAGTCGGTGACCAACGATTGGTTCATACACCATTCGTTCTCTAATGTCACTGGAGCCTATGTGCACTATTGATCTGGAATCAGAGTTTTCCAACACCTCTAGATGGATCCTCCATATCCACTAATCCGGTTAAAGCGCCGGACGTTACATTTTCTTTCTCTAAATTTCGTGAACAACACCCTCACCTCGAGAAGGCAGTGAGTAAAACATCCCTGGCAGTGGTTGTATTTACGTAGTCATGTGAGAGCATTTTAAGAGAGAGAGAGCTAAATCTCCCCACTCTCGGCCGTATCAGGGCATTTGGTGGCTATGATAATGCTAACTAGTATTATTTGTTTATATCTTAGAATGACGCTATTTGAAGTATATATTTTTAATTGCTTATCTTTTAACAGAATTGGTAATGTAGCGTATTAATTTGGCCTATGATCAGTTAGTTCGTTCATAATTGTTTTCAATATTTTACAAATATACAGGTTCTTATCGTATACATAATTCATGATTAACTAAATGAACGTGTGTCATGATACTAAACTTTCTCAACCTACCATTATCTAGATAATTGCACACTTTCATTTAATGTAATAAAGCGTTTTCCTACATTGAAGCGAGGCTTCTAGGTGAAAATTATTTTAATTTATAATTTATGTGAGGCCATATCAGTTGAAATGAAACTAACTACGAGTATATGGAGTTATTTGGAATATAGAAACATGATGAATCATGGTGGTGTACTGTACTCTGAAACGCTACTTAAAAGTTAATTCAGTGTGTTCTTTTTAAATATATGCAATTGTGTCATAACTATAAAGCTCTGGAATTTAAATCCATTGAATCACAGTTTATTTGAATTGTCTTACGTGATAATTGAAATCAGGATTTTAACTGTTACACTCTCAACTGAGAATTTCATTATATTTACATCAATAGAAATCCTAAATAGTTTAGAAAAACTAACTACCAGTTATACACAAAAAAAATTATTTAGAATAAACAGTACCATAACAATAACAACTTGTGATAGTTGAAACTTCAGATCAAAATAATTAAATGTGATATTATTATTATTATTATTATTACCGGTGGCTTTATTCAATATTATATTTTTGGTACAATATAGAATTCTCAACAGAAAGTTTTTTCAACAAGTTTCCCTTTCTTATTTCTTGATCAGTTCTTGCGATAAATAATAAATGGACGCCAGTTAGATGTCAGCGGTTCAGGAATCGACATCTGATAAATGTATATCCTTTGCGATGTATATTGCCAGTAACCATTATGTTTTTGATTGAGCTCTTTTGTAACTTGTACAGCGAAATATCGTAAACTTTTTACAAATGCACCTGAATAGGTTATGAGACTAATAGGCATAATGATGTGTTAAAACAAACAAGAAAACTTGTTGAAATATCCAGATGGCAGGAACAGGTAGCCTAGATATTCAAGCAGGCCGGCCTATAGTACAAAATTGTGTCCAGATTACACACATTCTGAACTTCACAATTCACAAATACATCTTAATCCTTAAGGAAGTCAGCTTAAAATTCCCGGGGAGAGTGTAGATGTATATGGTTTTACTAACTAAAGCAGTCAATATCATCATTCATGACCAGTAAATGGTTTCTTTGGTTTCAAGTTTTTAAATTCTAAAAATATTTCGTTACTTTAAAATTGCAATGTTTAAAATTATTTCCACTTGAACACTTTTTTCATTATATGATTTTTTTTCAGATATGGAATATCTCAACTGGTGTATGTTATCATACGCTTATTCGACCAATTTATAGAAATAATTTGACAGAAACAGCTATATTTTCTTCATCAGTTTCATGTTTACACTTGGATTATTCACAGAATAGACTTGTTGTAGCTTATCATGATGGTACAGTATTGGCAAAACATTTATCAGCATCTAATCCATTGATAAATGGTCATAACCATGACATCAGCCTTACAAATACTGCTAATAATAACAACAACAATAGTATGACGTGGGCATTTTATCCCAGTACGATATATTTAGATGAGTATTTATATAAAACTGATTATAAATCAGGCAGTTTAATACGTTGTTTAACTGGTGATGCATGGCATATAATATGTGGTTCCGATGATAAATCCATTAAGGTTAGTTTATTGTGAAACAATAATCCTACGTATGTTCAGTATCAACCTGTTAACTCATTTACATTTGGTTGTACATCACTAAGTTAAAATCATATATACTAGTGAGTGTTTTGTTTTTAGACCATATTCTTACTTTTTTGGCATATTTAAATTAAAGTGTTTGGCTGTTTTCACAAATGATTCTCATTATCGCAGTTTAATATAAGCTCAGTTGTTCAAATGTTTATTTTGATATCGATTTTGGCATTTTTGCACCCGAAAGGGCCTAACTACGACCTGTGTTTTTTTCATCATTTATAATTCTATTTTATTTAACTTAATAGATCATAACTTGGTAGGATATTAGTTTGTAGGATATTAATGCATTAGATTATTTCAAATTAACAGTGATTAGTGTGCTCTAAATATCGCAATACATTTAGAGTTTTAAATGCAATACATTAAATTCTAACTAACTGATCTAAAAATATTATGTTCGCCATGATATTTGACAGATTTTCGTCCCATTTTTTGTTTAACTATGGATGCCTGTCATCAATAAGTTTCAGTGTAGGACAAAGGTGTTCAGTAGACTTATCAGCTCTCGTCATTTCTACATCTGTGCTTAATTATTGACGATCTGTGAAAAGAATATTCATTTTGGATATGCTAGATCCATAGAACTTACTTGCTTATTTTTGTAATTTTATTTTGGGAATCTGAATTTCGTGTTTTCGCGCCAAAAGCACCCATTTTCGCCTTTGTATCGTATTGCCCACTTAACAGGACTTTAAAGGTCATTGGTTCCTTGTCCCTTTTAATATGCTATTTTGTAACGTTTACCAAAGACATTTTAATGATGTATATATACTCTTGAGTTGTGCTTGTTGTTGTTGTTCGTGCTTCTGGTTGCTTGTGGAATACATTTTCCCTCTTCTGAACCTGGACTTCTCTCTCTAGTTAGCGGGGCTGAGACTCATTGGAATAATTGGCTCATTTGGTCATCGTGTCGCTGAGTCTTCGTTTCGTTTGCAGACTTAGGTGAACTTGTAATGTCTTCAAACATAACAATTCAGGATTTCTTTTTCCCAATGGATAAAATTAAAATTGATATTAATCTTTTTGAAATAACATTTAGTTCATTTTCAATATGTTATGCAGGCAACTGGCAGTGGTTACTGGTTCAAGAAGAATGTTCGGTACAGTGTGAATAATGTGTATTATTAGTCTTGAAATGCGTTTGCATTTGCTGAATTGTGTTTCAGTATAAAAGTGAAGCAAATAATAAAAATCTTTTGTTAATGTATTGTTACAATCTGGTAATGATTACAAAATTATATCCTTATCACCATCAACTTTATATTACATCTACAGGTTATTCATATATCTGATACATAAATTCGTTTCCGCAAATTCTACGAACTCTTCTTTTTGGTTCCACTACGTAAAGTTCAACTCATGAAATGAATTATGATTGGTCAAATTATGATTTAATGCACATATAATAACTCGTTAACCTTCGTGCTCCATTTTAAAACTGAAAACAGACCACAATACCCTGAAAATTCATACATATATATGTAGAATAATATATTGTTCGAGCAGTCATTTTCAACCACTGGACGTCGTCAGGTTAAAACTCTCCTTCACTTACTTTCGTACTTCAATGTAAAGTGGTTTCTGGCCAACTTATATATCGAATAGGGGTCTATTTACTTGACATTTGTATGAAAACTAATGGTATTAGGGTTATTTTACTTTTATTTCATTTTACTAGATCTTAAATTTAAACTGCTGAGGAGTCCCATACTAGGACGAAACGGCCGTCCAGTGCTTCCAGGTTTTCCATGGTGGTCTAGCTTCAATGGATTCATGATTTCAACCAGTGAAATTTCTTAAATCTCCACACAATCCCTTCTGATAATTATTAATTTGGTTTAAAAATTTTGTATTCTTCGACTAGTTTATTTCATTTTGTCAAACAACTCTAGTTGTGACAAATCATAGCTGGTTTTTACAAACAAATACGAGCATAGATTACTTATGAAGACTTATACATTATAAGAAAAGTGAGAATACTGTAAATACGTTTAACTGTCATCAGCTTATGACTCAAAAATGTCAATATCCTTAATTATTCAGTTCCCTAATAATCAATTGCTTTTATTCATAGTTAGATAATTTTCACACTTAAATGTAGATAATGGGTAAAATAATACAATTTCACTGTGTTAAGTTACTAATAGCAGGACCAGACAACATTCCAGCAAAGACACTGAAGACAGACGTAGCGGAAACTGCAAAGTTACTCCACATTCTCTTCAGAAAGATTTCGGATGAGAAACAAGTACCAAAAGACTGGAAAGAAGGACATGTAGTCAAAATACCAAAGAAAGGAGAACTCAGCGAGTGTGATAACTACAGTGGAATCACTCTTCTCTCAATACCAGGAAAAGTCTTTAACAGGGTATTGTTAAACAGGATGAAGGACTCTGTAGACACACAACTTCGCAACCAACAAGCAGGATTCCGTAAGGATAGATCGTGTACAGACCAAACCACAACTCAACGGATCATTGTGGAACAATCAATTGAATGGAATTCATCGCTATACATCAACTTCATTGACTACGAAAAAGCATTTGATAGCGTTGACAGAACAACACTGTGGAAGCTTCTTCGACACTACGGCGTGCCTGAGAAGATAGTCAATATCATACGAAATTCCTACGATGGATTAAACTGCAAAATCGTTCATGGAGGACAGTTGACAAAGTCGTTCGAAGTAAATACCGGTGTCAGGCAAGGTTGCTTACTCTCACCCTTTCTCTTTCTCCTGGTGATCTACTGGATCATGAAGACGTCAAAATCTGAAGGGAAGCACGGGATACAGTGGACATCTAGGATGCAGTTGGATTATCTAGACTTCGCAGATGATCTGGCTCTTCTATCGCAAACGCAACAACAAATGCAGGGGAAGACGATCAGTGTAGCAGCAGCAGTAGGTCTCAATATACACAAAGGGAAAAGCAAGATTCTCCGGTACAACACAGCATGCACCAATCCAATCACAATTGACGGAGAAGCTTTGGAAGATGTACAAACCTTTACGTATTTGGGCAGCATCATCAATGAACACGGCGGATGTGATGCAGATGTGAAGGCACGGATTGGCAAAGCAAGAGCAGCATATTTACAACTGAAGAACATCCGGAACTCAAAACAATTGCCAACCAACACCAAAGTCAGAATTTTCAATACAAATGTGAAGACAGTTCTACTGTATGGGGCGGAAACCTGGAAAACTACGAAAGCCATCATCCAGAAGATACAGGTGTTTATTAATGGTTGTCTACGCAAAATACTTAGGATCCGTTGGCCAGACACTTAGCAACAACCTACTGTGGGAGAGAACAAACCAGATCCCAGTGGAGGAAGAAGCGCTGGAAGTGGATAGGATACACATTGAGGAAAGCACCGAACTGCGTCACAAGACAAGCCCTCACATGGAATCCTCAAGGTCGAAGGAGGAGAGGAAGACCAAAGAACATATTACACCGGGAAATGGAGCTAGACATGAGAAAAATGAACAAGAATTGGATGGAACTAGAAGAGAAGGTCCAGGACAGAGTGGGTTGGAGAATGCTGGTCGGCGGCCTATGCTCTATTAGGAGTAACAGTAGTAAGTAATAAGTTACTAATAATATCACCAAGTCCGACTTCATACAACAAATTGCCGTAAATTTTTCATCTGCATAATAACTTGTATTTTTTCACGCTTATGCTAATTAACTTCCTACTTATTCTGTTGTTACACCGTTGTCCTTGCATTCATTGTAAATTTGGATACTGGTAATTCAATTAATCGAATTTATATGTACCTGTTTTACGAACCTGTTACATCTCCTCTTTCTTATACATTTTCTAGACTGTTCTTCTAATTACATATATACATCTAAATTCATAGATAATCTTTGTCGTTTCAAGTCGTCGTAGATACTCGCTTCAGTTTCTCAATATTCTGTCTTTCAATCAACGTTTTGTTATAGTATATGCTATTTATACGGATAGATAAAAGTATTATGTATCAGTAATTGAAAATAGGATTCTTACTGACAGGAGAGGGAAGTGAAAAGTTGAGAAAGAAGAACAAAAGTAGTCAGATTAAAAACATGAATGGAAGGATGTTGAAGTTGGTAAGATACAATTCAAGGAAGATGTCTAAATTATGTATTCACAATGTATGTTATTCATATTTTATAAATGTTGTGTGTGATTTCGCTTGATACAATGAATTGGTTCACCTTACCCAGATCTTTGTTCATTACATTGGTAATTTAATGAAAACTTTTTAGAGTTGTCTAGAATTTACAAAATATAATGAATTCATATTAATTTTTTTCAAACATTCTCCCTGATTTTACTTATACTTTTGTTGTTTTGTTCTTTTTTCTGTACCATTAATTAGGTTTGGCAAGTAGGTGATAATAAATTTGTCCATAGTTTACAAGAACATGAAGATGGTGTAACATGTGCTGTGATATCAGGTTCCGTGATTATTTCTGGTTCTTATGATAAAACTGTCATACTTTATGATTTCGATGTGATTTAAGTAGTATATACTGTTATTATTATTGTTGACAGTTATATGTGTTATCATATCATTTGGTCAGTAGCCACTTTATTGGACCTATTTAATTTTTTCTTATTTTAATGGGTCTTTGTTGAACAATCTTTTCTTCTTTTCATTCACATTTATTCTTTGTTTCAATAGTCACTATAAACTGGATATCGTAGTTGCTAGTTGTATTTCGTTGATATTTTACCTTTTCACTGTATTTTCTCCATATATATTATGAATTTCAGCGATTCCCTTCCCTTGTTTTTTTAAGTATTTGTCGTAAATGTTGTTTCTGACGTTTAAACTTTTAAAAGGAAATATTCTATTCTTGACAGCCTATCACAAAATAATAAACTTATCATTTTATTATGTAGGACATACTCTGAAATTCCTTTTGTTTTTAGCATTTTTATAATATTTATTAAATTTACTTCATCGTTGGTTTTTTTACCTACTTCGTTTGATAAAATTTCTTCATATCGTGTTTTGAATACCTTAGTTTATATAGTCTGACATTTTTGTCTAGTTCTTTCAGTTTATTGTTCAGTTGAAATTGAAGTGATATGTTAGATGGTCCGATATAGTCGTGTAATTGTAGATAATGCTGGGCTTACTAAAGAATCATGAACACAGCAGTTATTTGCATCAATCCAACAATCTGTTTAATGTCATTAGCATTGTAATTGTTGAGTTAGGACCAGTATATCAAAATACATATGCCGGTTTCTGAAGTTTCCATCTATCTTTTACCCCCTATAAAAAACATATTTCCAAATCGGATATCTGTAAGAGATACACATTTCGTTTGCGTTTTTCCAAGGACTATAACGAAGTCACTATCTTTTAAGAAGGCAACACTCAAAACTGTACGAAAGATTTTCCCTTCACTGTTTCGGACATTGATCTTAGCTACTATTTCCGATATGATATGTACAAGAGACCTGGATTTATGCTTAGAAGAAATCTAGGTTCAAGTAGTGGATTCCAATTGCATGGAATTTTTATGTGCTCACCAATAATAGGATTCATTAGTTGGACTTAAGTGTTTGTCGATACGCTTTTTAAATTCACTCCTAGGACTCACGTACACATCTCATGCCTTGAAAGAATTTCAGTTCTCAAGTCATCAAATAAGAATCCACATAGTGGTCACTTTGTGCGCGATACTGTTGTTAGCAAATTTTATCGACCGTTTCGATACTTTGAATCCCTCTAAATACTAAATTATGTGTGGTAATTAAGAGTATTTCAACCGGATCGGAATCCCGACCATCCATCAGTGCATTAGACTTTGGTTTTTTGTAAGCCTTTGGTTTAAATCACTAATAGATATCACAGCTGTTTGTATATCTTTCCAATCGACATCTGGGTTGGCTTCATTTTCAGAAGTAACTACGTGTGATCTCAGTTGTTCCTGGATTATTTTGACTAACAAAGCATCTCAATTACTAGCCTTACTGATACTCGTAAACTACAAACACGGAAAAATCAGGCTGGCTTCAGACCTGGTTGTGGCTGCATCAATCACATATTCACCATTCGTCAGGTTCCAAAACACAGGCATGCTTATCAGTGTCAGACAATGATAGTTTTTCTTGGTCTAAAAGCAGCATTTGACTCTGTAGACCGAGCGGTTCTTTGGCAGTGTCTGTCATTGAAAGGTGTACCTCAGAAGTACATAAACCTTGTGAGGTCTCTTTACTCGAACACTACTAGTCGAGTCAGAGCACATGGCGAACGGTCATCTGATTTTGCAGCCTCAATTAATGTCCATCAAGGCTATTCACTTTTTCGATTTTTGTTTAACTTCCTTATAGACATGCTGATGCAAATAACGCTTTTGTCGACTGAATTTTCGGGCACTGATTTCCTACCAAGACGTCCACTTATCGACTTAGAATACGCAGATGATAAATCCCTGTTTGGTGAAGACGCTGATAAAATGCAGTGTTTTGGTAGCACTGAGCAACAATGCAAGAATGTATGGGATGCACTTCTTCTCTAAATACAAGTTGTTGCTTCATGACTGGTCTGCGTCAACACTTCAACTAAGGATAGGGAGTGAAGTAGTTGAACGCGCTGACAACATCACTTGGAAGTCTAATCAGCGCTAATGGATTGGTGTCTGACGAAATCTCAGCAGGGATTCGAAAAGCTCGTTTTGCTTTTACCAACTGACGTCACTTATGGAGAATGCAAGATATCCGTCTATCAATAAAAGGACGAGTATACTGTGTGGTAGTTAGTTCTGTTCTACTCTACACTTGCGAAACGTGACCATTAAGAGTAGAGGATACTCGTAAGTTACCAGTGTTTGATCACAGATGTCTTGGAAATATTGCTCGCATCTGCTGGGATCACCGGGTAAGTAATGGTGAGGTTAGACGCAGGGTATTGGGGAATGATGGTAAATCAGTTGATGAGGTTGTAAATCTTCATCGACTGAGATGGTTGGGCCATGTGTTATGTATAACTGAACACCGATTACTACGAGGCGCAATGGTGATTCGTGTGTGGTACGGTTGGAAAAATATAGTGGCTGGCAAACCAAAACGTTGCATCAGTCCTTAAAATCATTAACTTCTAGTCTTTGCCATGTTGGTGGATGCAGATTACTTAGTTGGGATCTGCGCAACTATCGTACCCAATGGTTGGAGACTGTTGGTGACATGGTTCATATTCGATCTCAATGATGTCGGTGTATGCACTCTGTCTGTCATTAAAATTTGAGAATAAAATTCATTATTGTTTTTGTTTCTAAGAGCTAAATTTTTGATCCTGTATGATATACACTTATACACAAACTTTGTTTTTATATAAAACTACAATTTAAGCAACTGCTTCTACGAATTTGGTGTTCATCTTGCTGTGCTGATGACGTGCGGCAACTTGAACTGATGCACCTTTGTGCCTGGTCCTATTTTGTACCTGACTGACTGGTTGAATTATAGTACAACATAGGATTCCCAAGAATAATGCATTTTAACCAAGAAGTATTAGTAAGCACAAACGAATATATTTTATTTGAAGTTTGAAATTTGAGTGTTATCAAGTAGTAATGGACCATTGATTCACACAAACGCCATGAGTTTAATTGCATTCCAAGCTTTCGTATTCGGTTGTATGTCATCTTCTTAAGTTCATTATGTGTCTGTTCGGCAGTGTATTGAACAAAGACCATTAATATATGGACTCAAATCAGCTGAAAACATTGTAATAATCTAATAAAATAGATCAATATTTCTTGTCAGTTTGGTAAAATTTTGTGTATTTTAACTTGTTTGTGATTAACGAATTGGACTGATAATTCAGGAACTAATTCAAAATATATTTGATAAAGTGTGTGCAAACAGATATAACTGTTATTAGTTTATTAATAATTAAGTAAGATTTTCTGAAATATCAGTTTATGTTTGCTTCAGTAGGGATTAGAAAGTTTCAGTAATATACAGAGTAAAAGTAATCTAGTAGCTACGTTTGCGTAGGTCGATACGTCGTGCTGTTGATTACATGATTATTCTGATTTTTCTTAACGCACTTAATTTTTTCTCTTAATAGATTATTCTGTGAGCGATACATTTGAAGTCGATCCAATTATCGTTCGTTACGATTTATAAGCATTTATTTACCTTTCCAACGGACCCCGAACAAACTGTTGGTTGTAATATAGGTATTTATGATATCAACCACTGCTTACACAATATATGTTATCTGCTCTAATGTAGTACCTTGTGACCACACATACGATCGCATGATTTATCTATAGTTTACCGTATCCTACCATATTTCGAACCTGGAAAGAAGGCCTGCTTATTACGAACTGCAGAAACAAAACGTTTCATTAGCCTTATCTTGTTCTATTTACAGTAAATTGCACTATTTCGTGTATTCCTAGTTAGTACATTGATTCAAATACATCTAACCTTCAAAATTTCCAATATTTGACGATCTACACATAGTTTAATAAAACAAATTTTGAAGGCATTCACTGAGACAGCTAGCGAATGAACACCGGACAGCTTCAAGACTATTTATCTAGTGCAATTTAGTATAACAGTAGTCCCACCTAATTAGTTACATATCAGATGGCTATTCACAAAATTGTGATGTTGAAGTGGCATTGTTTTCTTACCACATGAGTGACGAAGTCAAGCAAATAATAACTGAAAAGATTGACATGCCATATATATGACACTTAGAGAATGTCAAAATTGTGAATACAGTGACAATCAATCAAAATGGCATGACTCGTTCATGATAGCGTTGTCACTAAAACCTATTGATTTATGTATAAACTATGCTACTCTCTACCCAGCTCAAATGTGTTATCCGGAATAAAGCTAGAAGCCATACTGCTGATCATCACAATACGATGTGTCAATGTGAACAACAATGTAATTTCCACATCATAATTCCTTTTTGAACAGTTGAATAATACAAGTAAGTTGTCATTCCCGTGAATCAACAGACACTACAAGACCTCAAAAAGACAGGCCCAAAACAACGCGCTCTGGAAGGAACCTTAGGGTTTCCGAAACACTTAAACGGCTACTGCTAGCAGGACATTACATAACTCTATGATTTGTATCGTTTTTGAGACCCACAGTTATGTGGTTGCATTTTGTTACTCATACTGTCTTGTTAAACTTTGTTTTTTCTAATATTCTCAATAAATGTTTATATTGTATTTTAAAACTGATCCTAAAAACCTTTACATAAAAAATTTCCAAGCTAAAACATGGCATATATATATGCCAGTTTATTTGCATTCTTAGCAAACTTAATCAACTAAAAGTGTATTTCTTTCAGAATGACTGGCAAAGCTGAAAAACCGAAAAGAATACGATGAATCGAAATTTTCATTGCAAACATATGTTTAGGAAGGATGAGTAGATGCTCTTGGTCATAGCAAACTATCTGAAGAGCATTTATCCTTGTGTCTAAAATTTTAGCTAGTAACGTCTTAAGGTTGTAGTTCATCAACAGAGATGATCTTTGTGTTAGATGGAAATGGTGTGAATAACAGTCAACTCTGAAGTCACACTTAGCTTTCAGCACCTAACGTGGATTACCCCTCCGTCTTACCAAGATTCTATAGATGCTTTGAAGACTGCAAGATACAAGTGACATTAATAAAAAAATATGTTATTTAGAGTAGGTAAAATAAAAGTGTGATCACTACCGCATAGGTCAGTTCATGATGTGAGAATAACTGATGTCTTTTAGTTGTTCTACGCCTTGATGAGTATAGATGATCTGTTCAACACTCAATTACACATCTGCCGAATGATTTCGCTACATCCCAGTGACACTTCCTGGTCATACAGGGTCATCTCTATTACTTCAGGGGACTAAAACCTGTATTGGTGGATAAACTACCGAGATAAATGGTCGTTTATGTCTTTGTCATTCATGTTGACCTTGTAGCGTGGTGTCGAGTTGAGCTGAACTATGAACACCGCTACCAGACTACTTGCCAATAGACCAATAAAATCCCGGTAGGCCAAAATATCAGAAGGCAGATGTTTGTAGTAGTCGTATATATTTGTTGGCAATCTCGTGGTATCGAAAGAATACCGAGATCGTGCCAAAGGAGTACAGTTGCGATCGGCAAGATAAAATACGTGCGTAGTCAAAAGCCGCGTAGAAGCAATGGAATACAATGGAAGATTAAAATGGCTGTTATTAGCACAGTTAAACAAACGAGCACAGTAAAACAGTCACTGGTACAATTGGTTATAATAATAATTGTTTTCATCGAACCAATCGCGTTCTGTTGACAAAAGTAGGTCACTACAACCTCATTTGACACACCATAACTGAAGGCGCTCAATAACGCACCATCGTCATATAAGAAATGGGTAAACCGTGCTATATACCCCTTACAGTTACTACCCAGCTTAGACAGAATGCGTCTCAACCCATCGACAACCCTCAAAATACATCTTTGAACTATTTACTACGGAATCTAAAAGAAATTTGTTGATACCTTTCCATCACAAACTTTTCACCGACGAAAGCGTTGTCAAGCCCTGGAAACTTGTTGAAACTTCCATATTTTTGCTTGAAGTTCATCATTCAATGAGCCTTGTAATGACCTCTGTATTTGATTACCAACATTGCGACGCTGCTTTGTTGTATAACAAAGCTACGAGATAGATTGTGCCATAAGACTTTTTGATACTGACAGTTCATACGACGATCCTGCGCTTAAATAAAAGGTTAAAAAACGAAATTAGCTCTTCTTGTAATTCTGCCACGAATTTCAAAGCACTTTCGGTTAAATTTCGTCACAAATGTCATGGTGACCAGTTGGCGGAAGAACAAATATCAACGATGACTTCACGTCTGATAAATGCTAATTCAAGACTTAAAGAGATGGACCTTAAGGCTGATAAAAATGGCTTAAAAAATACTGTTTTTTCAGTTAATGGTGATAAATACACAGGTGAATGGAAACACAACAAGCGCCATGGTACGAAACCTATTTTCAATCATATGTGAAATATATATATATATATATATAATGTACGCTTTGAATTTTGATGGCCACCACGGTGTGTTTGCAAATGGAAGTACTACATACTTCTTATATGAATATATATATTTGGCACTGCGGTATCCCATGCTCCCAGATTTGGGAAAATTTTGGGGAACTTCCTCAAAGTCAGGGGAAATTGCTCCGGGTCTATAGAAATTTTTGGGGTTTTGTGCCATTTCCCCCTAAATTGGGAGCTTGGGATACTGTGCTAGAATTAACTAGATTAATTCCCCTTTATATAGATTGAACAACTTATCTGAATTTCAACAAGCACTTTCGATAAACGGTTGATGTAAGGTGTTGAATTTTCATATGTTGCGTCAAGGACTAATTATTATTGAATAACCATAGAAAACTAAGGAGGAATAAACTGCTGCTTGTTATAGTGCAGAATTAAGCAGTACACAAATACAATTACACAGGCGAGGTTACAAAAGAATTTTGGTCTGATAACTAGCGTTTGACTTTCAAACACCCATTCCAGAATTCGTTAGCTTCGATGAATAACTTCAATGGGCTTACGATCTGACCCAACTGTTCATGGAGAATTGATTAAAGTTAAACATGTTGACCATTATGTGCGGGCTCAGTTGCTTAGGGTATCGCTGCTCGTTGCACGGCTGACAATCTCTGGTTGGGCTGTCGACGGGCACTTTTGTGAAATCTGTTACTAGGATGTAACAACTGTCTAATGCTCGATATTTTAACTACAATCAATCCGTGATGTAAACTACTTGGCGGTTGATAATTACAAACAAGATGTTTTAAAACATTTCATACACATAGCTGCCTTACTTTAATAGTGTAAAGTTTCTGTATATTCGGATTCGATATTTCAAACAGCGTCTATATATTTGGAAACTAGCGTTGATGTTAAAACAGGAAAATTGACTTATCTCATCCAAAGTAACAGAATTCTCGCAGAATTTTCAGATTTGATTTAAACTATACACCATACAATACGAGTGTTTCCATAAAACCAAATATTCCATTATTTGTATTTCTGTTGACTGTATGACGTAAAAAACATGAAATATTACTTTATCTAAACTACATGTTAAATTTGAATGTTGAACTACTTGGCAAAAGCATGAGGTCACATCTTCGTGGACATATGAACTCAATTCATAGTGGCCCTACTCGACTTAAGGTAAATATAAACAGTTCCTCTTGCAGAATAACTGAATCTACAGGTTTTACAACTTTAAATATATTCTTAATATAACTTCTGAAGGATAAACCATCTCTCCCAGTTACCGGTAATTGCTACAAATGACCGTCATTTGTGCTAGGTTCATTATTACGTACTAATTCTTTACGCATATTGTTATTAGTACACTAATGTATTTCTTAATTGATGTTTATCCATTGAAACCCTTTTGCACAAAATAAAAAGGTCTGTGTTAAACAGGTTTTGGTATATACGAATGGAAAAAATCAAACCTTGTTTACGAAGGTGATTGGGAGAACAATATGCGAAGTGGATCTGGTGTTTTGAGTCGGAAATTTAAGAATGGGAAACAAATAAATGTTTACTCAGGTTCCTGGAAATACGACAAACGGCATGCAAGTTGTTGTGAACATTATTAACAGTTCTTCAAGGGTTATGGAAACAACTGGTATTCAGATAATAAAATATACGAAGGTGAATGGTATGACGGAAAACGTTCTGGATGGGGAAGAATGCACTACCCTGATGGAAGCATTTATGAGGGACAGTGGTTTAATGATAAACGGCATGGAGATGGGATGCTTAGATTGGGTAACTTGGAACAATATAAGTAGAGTTTTTAGTAAATGAAAATAGGTTTGAAGGACAGTGGTTAAATGACAAAAAGAACGGAGTGGGAAAATATTTCTTCCTTAATACTGGCCAATTAATGGAGGGAATATGGTGTGATGATGTAGCAAAATCTTCTCAAATTATGGACCTCGGAAGGCAGGTGGCAAAAAGTCCAACGGAGTCCGAAATACCAGAGGTAGATTTTGATTTCTAAATATTCTCTGACAACAATATTACTATAATTTCATGTTTTCAGATAAAGGTAAAACGAATGCTTAAAGAAATAATATATTGAGTGAACTAAGAACATAGACTATATCCGGTTTCAGAATGGATTATAGGGTGATTGAAACAAACTGTTGGTAGACGTAACACGAAAAGTATCTACAATATCGTGAGGTAACGACAGTAATACCTATGATACACTGAGACATACGAAATGAATTGTGTCTTAATGAAACAAAAGATAACATGGGTTATACGTAGGAATATATTTCGTAGCATTTGCAAAGAGCTTGACTTTTACGGACGAAGTCAGCAGACCCAACATTAATTATGTATGATAGTTACTATAAAACACGAAAAGACAAACCTTTGAAGCTGATAATACTGTTTCAGTTTGAAGAAATTATCTGACCTTTGTTTAACAGACTCACAGACTGTCGTTTGTATAAGTTGATCTCAAAACTTCAACTAAAATCGAGTGAGATTTAAAACCTGAATAAAGAACACAACTAGAATATTTCTTTCTATAATATAATATTGTGTAGTGAAGCAGTATACATCACAGAACATTAATGGAAACTCCTTACGTAAGAATTTTTAGTAATCCGCGCGAAAGTTCATTAGCCACACCAAATGTGAGCTATTTTTCCAACGTCGTTCAGAATACTAGGAACATGTTTATGATAAGTGATAAACCACCTATGCCTAATGCATTTTCAGTAAGTTCATGTTATACACCTCATTCGTTTGCTATCGAAAATTGCATTTAGTTTTGCAGTCAGAACAAATGCGCATCTAGGTCAGCCTTAAAATGAAAACAGGAATGAATATATGGGATACAAGACTAACAAAGTTGTCAATCACACAATGGAATACTAGATAAAATGATCTGACTACATTATTATTGAACAGATTATTTTCTGAAGCCCACTCATAATTGACAAAATACTTCGAAAGACACATCTTATTATATTTGATAAAGTTAACATACAAAACACCTAAATAAATACTGTTAATCCGTATATCACGTTCATAAACCCATACGTATGTGATATATACCACTACTAGAGCAAACTGTTCCAATCGTTTGTAAAGTTTTGACCTCAACCACACCAGGAGAGGTGGTTACCCAATGACATTGGACAAACTGGAGACATCCCAATATCCAATAGCTCCCCACTATTCCACTGCTTAGTCTCAAATCACGTATTACCATAAGAAATAAACACCGGCAAAACATTGCTTATCACGAACCAATTGACCTTAGTAAACACTCCTTAATACGTATGTTTTACTTTCAGATAAAATTGAAAGACCCTAATGGTATCCTCAAAAAAGTGCAAGAGGAGCTGATGGAAATAATACGTACCAACAACTCAGAGAGTTCCTGAGGGCAAAACCATAACAAACTGCATATTTTATTATACTTGGAACTGAGAAACGGTTGTACAATCAGCTTACTTTGCACGTACACACACTGATATAGTAATGAGGAAACTAACAGTATATAATTTATTCAAAAAAATATATGCAAGATTACAAAGCTTAAAAATACAATGAATTGGTAAACAAATATACAAACTCTACAAAGTAAATAATAACATAAATGGAAAATGCACTAAAAAAGACTGAAAAATATAGTGGTAATAATAGATGTAGAGTAAATGCGATTATATAAATTGGAACACCGAATAATTTTAAGTATACAAATAAAAAAAGCTCATTCAAAACTGTTAGGTAGAATTATAGTACAACATATCTTTTTAACAATTTGTAATACACACAACTACTGATTATTTATTCGAAATCTTCTATCTGAAGTGGCTGTTTTATACTGTGAGCCTCAGGGAAGCGTAAACAATATTTATTATCGCGTAAGAACTTTACAGTCAACAACCGACCTATGAAGGAAGAAAGAATGGCAACAACAAATGAAAACCGGCACATTAATTTATTGTCGCAGTGCCTAAATTTATATACGCAAAATGAAATTCGGAGATAAATATACATATATTTTTAGCTTAAATGGTTGTATGAGGTTATGGAAACAAAGAACCCCAAACAAACGAATAAATTGAAAAAAATATAACCAGTAATTAGGCAATTCAGAAGAGTACACCGGATGCTTTTCGTAAAGAAGCTTTATATTAATACCATTTTAATCAAAACGAAAGTAAAACTTCAGTCCTGCTATTAAACCAAATAAAACAATGAAAGAAAATAAGAAAAGTGAATAACCCAGAATTAATGTGACTAGCAAAGAAAACATTGCTTTTTGTTGACAATAATAACCGAACATTGATTTAGATCGTTATGCTAATTGGACGAGGGGTGACTTGAATTACTTTGCATTCAGTTAGGTTATCAGTTACTTCATATGTTTAGATTTTTATAGTCATAATCTACTGTTTATTGAGATAAATAGTTATACTTAACAAATAAGCAGACTTCCTTGTTTCGTAAAACTGAAAAATTTCGATATCGATATGGTAGCACAATCTTGAAGTCATACACATATATTGAAGTTACTTTACAGTGGACTAAGAGGATCATTCTTTATTTACACAAGCTTCCCTTCTACTGATTTCTTGTCTCGATTTTGTTATCTTATTTACATGAGCACTGAAATTAAACTCTCTGAAGGTATATGTGGTTTAAAAAAATAATTTTGTGCCTAAAACTATCGGTATAAAATAACGCACAAATACAGTATTTATTCAATGTTTTCTTATTTTAATCCACAATAAGTTGACAACTAGGTCATCATTAAATAAAAAATTTTAAAAAATCCACACAATCGAGCCGCATAAACAACATCTTCAATATATATATAATATTGGAGATGTCAAAATTGATACGACAGTAAAATTAACTACAAACTAAACAACCCGATTACATATTTTACAAATCTCGCTGGGCTAAAGGGATCTGGCAAATTGAAGGGATGTACACACATACCAAGTTCTATGTTGTACTTAATCGCCTGAAAAATATTTAGAATGTATTTTTAAAAACTGGGATTTTTGAAAAACTGAGGTGTGAATATGATGCTTCTTGCTTCGTTTATAATTACTATAAAGAAAACAGCTCTTCTAAAAGAATCAATGGATTTTCGGTTAATTCACTTTAGATCATAGAAATTTACTATTATCCACTTACTCACTTACGCCTATTACTCCTCGTAGAGGATCATAGGCCGCCTAATAGCACTCTCCATCAAACACTGTCCTGGGCAATCATTTACAGATGGGTTCAGTTTCTATCCAACCTCTTGATATTTGTTCCCAATTCTCCAGCGTTCTTTGGCCTTTTTCTTTTCCAGTTCTCTTCAGGATTCCAAGTTGTTGCTACTACACTAGTTGTTTTCATCTGCAGTTACTCGTGTGTATGAAATAAAAGGGCCAGGTCATCTGCGAAGTCCGAATCGTTTAGCTGCACCCAAGTTGTCCACTGTATTCCACGCTTCTCCTGAGATGTGGGGTCTTCATAATTCAGTCAGACACCAGCAGAAAAAGAGGGGAGTAAGTAACCTTATCTGAAACTGGTCCTCATTTAGAATGCGTCTGTCTGTCAGCTGTTCTCCATGCACCACTTTGCAGTGTCATCTATCGAATAAATTTCGAATGATATTGACGATCTTGTTAGGTGCAGCACAATGTCGAAGAAGTTTTCATTAGGTCCTTCTATCCACACGGTCGAACGTCTTTTCATAGTCAAGGAAGTTGGTGAGTAGTAACAAGTTACACTCAATTGATTGTTCAATGATGACGTATAATTTTACCATCCGGTTTGTGCACGACTGATCGTTACGGAATCCGGTCTAGTGATCTCGAAGCTGGACATCTACTGAGTTTTTAATCCTGTCCAGCAACACTGTTGAAATCTTCTCCTGGTACTGATAGTAGTGTGGTACCTATGTAGTTCTCACATTTGCTCAGATCTCCTTTCTTTGGTATCTTGATGAGATGTCCTTTTCAGTTCGTTGGCACTTGACCTTCCTCCCAAATCTCCCAGAATAGAATGTGAAGCATGTTTGCAGTTGCTTCTACGTCTGACTTCAGTGATTCGGCTAATATATCAGGTCCCGCAGATCCACTCCTGGTTATCACATTCTCCATTGTCCTTCCAAAATTTTTAGTAATGCGAATAAGATCGATCTTGCTATCTGCAGTGTGATTCAGTGAGGCCAACGTAGCTTTGTGTAAGCGTTTGAGATGGTAACTTGTGCGTAACTTTTGATGATCGACCTATTTATTATTGTTTATCTTTGTTTTTGTATATAACCTAATGGACACCTCATATGATACTCGGTTTTAACCAAATTATCACCGGCAACTTTACCATCTAACAATATTCTGTCAAGCTAAAGAGTTCATTTTACACAATAGAAATAAATTCACTCAGTGTTTCACTAATTCATTCAATAGCGCGTTTATTTTTCACATCTTATATTATCCTTAGCACGTATACGAACATACGTAAATCATTGCTATCTCACGACCACTCTGTCGCTACCTACCCTAAGAGCGAGTTGGGAAAAATCTAGGGGCGATAATATGTTTGTGCTTAAAGCTAGTATTTCGCAACTCCAATTTCAATACAGTCAATGAGCCTATCCTCTCCTCCCTTACAGTTTCGTAATAGAAGCTTTATTGATAAGGTCATTAGTAGAATTATGTATATTACAATGATTAGCCATTGAGATGACGAAAAGCGAATGTGCGGCGCTTTAACCGGGTTGGTGGATATGGAGGATCCATCTAGAGGAGTTAGAAAATCCTGATTCCAAACCAATGTTGCACATGGGCTTCAGGTTTCTGAGGGAACAAATGGCGTATGGACCAATTATTGGTCACCGACTACCATGGGACTGCATCTCTTGACGTTGCTCCACTATCTTGTGGATCAGACCTTTAGGTCGAATGCTCCGTGTGTGGTCTCCTCAGAAAACTACCTACTCCGGTCTGCGCGTTCACTGTCTTCTCTTAAACTATGAGATTAAAATCGCTTCATATCGGTCCTTCTACCAACTAATTCTTTCTTCCTGTACTATGTCCTTATACGCAATCTTTCTTTTATATATATCCGCCACTGAATTAAGTAGTTCTATGAATCCGATGTAAATGCAGGAGAAGACAACCAGTGTAACAGCAGCCTCAGCAGCAATAGGTCTCAATATACACAAAGGGAAAAGCAAGATTCTTCGATACAACACAGCATGCACCAATCCAATCACAATTGACGGAGAAGCTTTGGAAGATGTAAAAACCTTTACCTATTTGGGCAGTATCATCGATGAACACGGTGGATCTGATGCAGATGTGAAGGCACGGATTGGCAAAGCAAGAGCAGCATATTTACAACTGAAGAATATCTGGAACTCACAACAATTGTCAAACAACACTAAAGTCAGAATTTTCAATACAAATGTGAAGACAGTTCTACTGTATGGGGCGGAAACCTAGAAAACTACGAAATCCATCGTCCAAAAGATACAGGTGTTTATTAACGGTTGTCTACGCAAAATACTTCAGATCCACTGGCCGGACACGATAAGCAACAACCTACTGTGGGAGAGAACAAACCATATCCCAGTGGAGGAAGAAATCAGGAAAAAGCGCTGGAAGTGGATAGGACACACATTGAGGAAAGCACCGAACTGCGTCACAAGACAAGCCCTCACATGGAATCCTCAAGGTCGAAGGAGGAGAGGAAGACCAAAGAATACATTACTCCGGGAAACGGAGATAGATATGCGAAAAATGAACAAGAATTGGATGGAACTAGAAAAGAAGGCCCAGGACAGAGTGGGTTGGAGAATGCTGGTCGGCAGCCTATGCTCCATTGGGAGTAACAGGCGTAAGTAAGTATGAATCCGATGTTCATCTTGCTGTGTTTATGAGGTATGGCAACTCGGACCGATGCATGTATGTGCTTGGTCCAACGTTGTAGCGAACTGATTGACTTTGATCCAACATTTATGTTCAAGTAAATAAATAAACAATAAATGTATGAAATCTAGTACTATAGTAAAAAAAACTTAAGTTGAGGAAACTGATGCAAGACCATGCAGTGACAAAACGTGAACAGATATACAGATATTTATAAAAACTGAGCAATTACAAAAAGAAACACACCAAAGATAATGCTTTCATAAGCTAAATAAGAAACCCAGAAACGAGTTGACAAAATAACTAGATCTCACATAACTTACCATCAAAATAATTAGCATGTATCGAATGGAAAACGCGACCTGCAGTTTCGGGATCTCCACACTTTATATACACCAATCCCTGAGATACGAAAATCGAGAAAGTCGGAAATTCACAACAGATATCTATTTACGACTAAAAAAATATCATTTGAACTAATTAAAAATATATTCACGTTGGTTTCATGTTTCGGATAAAACTGATGCTAGTGTAACACAGATACCTAAATATTTATAGGTTAAACATAGAATGAATTAGTTCTCAACTGAAACACATGTTTAGACTATCAGATATTACATTATTATCGTCAGTTTGGCTCCTTTCTTAACATCAATCGCGTGACGCAAAATATTATTTCACTACGATTCATGTAATGATATTTTGTAACGTATACTTAAAGAGGTTCATTAACATTGAAACAAGCTTTACAGTGAGACTACGGTCTGTTTGGATGAATGATTGGCAAAAACGGTCGAACCAATTTAATATCTACGACTTAAATGCACGATGAATCATGAAAGGATATGAACTACAAATCGTTCATTAATTCAAAATTTAGGTGGGATTGATTTCCCATATATCTGCACATTCATCTATTGAGATGAAATGCTCCACTTGAGACAGCTGTGCAACAACTGGTTCCTTAGGTGGTTATTACAGCTATTTCACAAATAGCTTTTAGTTCGCCATTTAATATTCTACATAATAAATGGATCCAGTTATTCAGTAAATATTACTGTCCCACAAACGAGCTCTGAAAATAACATCGGATAGCTGGGACGGAACTTTGTATTTTCTTAACCAACCCGATTTAATTTCACTTTGACAGATAGACTGTAATGCTAACCTTCATATATCAATGAAACTAAAAATGAGTTTTTATGAGTCTTCTAGAACTAATTAGTCAACATTACACGCAATCTTTCGAAAAAATTATCACAGAATACTCGTAGCAAATCTTAGGAAATTCGATTTTTAAACGTTGGTTCCTCAAATACGTTACGTATTGAAGTGTAACTTTGTCTCTAGACAAAAAAGAAGAAACTTCCCGTAGTAACTTCCGCGTCTATCTTACCTGTAGGAATACCAATAATAATGCAGCCTTGTTCACTAGTAATAAACTATTCAACAACACTAGTCAATAACAAAAAAGTTATAAGTGTACTAGAATACCGCCTCATCCCAGGTAAAAATAGAGAATGTTATGTTATCAAAATAAGTTTCGAAAATTTCAAAGACGATTACATCGTTCAATTCTAAATAATTATTTGTTCCTTCCGAAACTAGAATCTGGACCCAATAGAACTGTAATCTCAAGTCAGTAGATCCTAACAGAAAATTCCAGATGTTATGTTCTGAGCTAAACGGTTTATTAGTGAAGCATTTATCACTTTTTGTCGCTATGACTTTAGGTCTCAATAAAATAGAATTAAGTGGTTATGTCAGTTTATGAGGGAAAACAGGTTTTCTGAATTGTTTCCTGTGAAATAATTAAAACACTTACTTCTATACAAAGTAGGTGCTAATTATGTAATCTAGAACGACAGTGAAAGCTCATGAATTCAAATATTAAATTACTGCAGTTTCCATAAAACCCCTTTCTAATAAAGCTTAACTAAACCATATGCCTTTGAGAGCAAAACATCACTAAAAGCATCCACCAAAGCTGAAAATTACCATCATTATTTCAAAGAACGACTAGAGGATGAATGAAAATATTTCGTAAACACACATGGAAAATAAATTAGAGAATTTTTAAGATGGATAATTGTTTGGGATTAAGATGCCGTTAGGTATTTAGTTTTTTGGTTGTATTTCCAAGTATTTCAACCAAAAAAACGTGTACAAATCTGTGCACCACAAAGGCAAACAACATTTATTTTAAAAAGTAATACAACAATCAGGATATCCAAGTTTATTTAATTGGAGTTAGTTGAAAACTAGGATTTAAAAACAAGTAATGTGAAGAACGCTTGATGGACAGCATTGCTCCAACAATTTTAGAAAATCACTTACATTTGTTCCAACACTATCTAAGCCTATGTGTAAAATGGACCCACAAGGCATTAATTTTTTTAAGAGTTCGCGTTTGATTCTTTTACGTCCACGTTCATCGATACTTCTATAATATAGTGAAAGAAAACGAGACATATAATTAGTACAAAGTTATGGCCTCAAAACCACATGAACCTTAAACAATTGTTACTTTACAATAAGTACTAACACATGTATGATTATCTAAAAAAACACTATTCACATGAGGACACTTACTCAGTAGAAAACATATTCCTTATTTTCAAACACTCCGTCGGGGGAACAATAAAACTTGGCCTCTGTGACGTGTCTATAAGTGCTATAACATGAAAAAGAGGTATAAGATAAGCCATAGTAACTATATAACGGGGTGACTTGTAAAACTTGCACACTTCACAACCAAACACTAAACATACGTTTACGGAGAGGAAAGATAGTCAATTAATTTGGTCAAGTTAAATGATTGTGCCTGATGGAGATTTCTGCATTTAGCTTTGAGGTACACTAATTATGATAGAAAGTAACACGACCCGGTTTGTCAAACCAAAGTATGTGAAGCGACGTTCGAAAATGCGCCCTCGTAGTTGACAGTCAAACTCTTAAACCACTGAGCTAGTGCTTATAGTCGTTAGTCAGTCATATTCAACGTGGAACCTGGGATATTTGTGCGCCAGTTTTAGCTGTTAGATCGTATTAAAACAGCAAGATAAAATTATCATGAAAAATGTTACAGCAGAAGCAGTAACAGTACTACTGGTAGTAAGTGACATAAGGCTTAAACAATGCCATTCTAGAAAAAATATTAAGTCCGAGAAATTAAAAGTGTGTGATAATTTTAAAGCTCAAGATCTAAGGAAAGACAAAGAGTAAATGCATCTCCAGTACTGCGACTGATTATGAATCATATCACTCAACATCTTTAACCATCGATTGCGGTTTTTATGCGAATCATAACCACATAGTCTGGACCTAACATAACTCAGACCAGCAGTCAATGATTTAATGGGCTGATGCCGTGTCTTTGTTCGGTCGCCTGATGGAGATGTGGAATCCACAAATACATCTTATAAGGAAGGAAATCAACATTAATTTCAGGTGAACGTAGATCAACTCTTAACAGTTTCTTTATATTACATCTACAAACTTTCAACAACTTTTAGCCATGATTTATGTTTGGTGTTTATTTACTTGTTTATTTGAACACAAAAATATTGATAAAAAGGAACACTGAATAAATATGCGCCAAACAAGTCACTTGATTTGTGTGTGGGCTAGGATGCTACCCGAGTGCCCAGACCGGAGTAGGTAGTTTTCTGAGGAGACCACACACGGAGCATTCGACCTAAAGGTCTGATCCACAAGACAGTGGAGCAACGTCAAGAGATGCATGCTGTGTTGTATCGAAGAATCTTGCTTTTTTCTTTGTGTATATTGAGACCTATTGCTGCTGAGGCTGCTGTTACACTGGTTGTCTTCTCCTGCATTTACATCGGATTCATAGAACTACTTAATTCAGTGGCGGATATATATAAAAGAAAGATTGCGTATAAGGACATAGTACAGGAAGAAAGAATTAGTTGGTAGAAGGACCGATATGAAGCGATTTTAATCTCATAGTTTAAGAGAAGACAGTGAACGCGCAGACCGGAGTAGGTAGTTTTCTGAGGAGACCACACACGGAGCATTCGACCTAAAGGTCTGATCCACAAGACAGTGGAGCAACGTCAAGAGATGCATGCTGTGTTGTATCGAAGAATCTTGCTTTTTTCTTTGTGTATATTGAGACCTATTGCTGCTGAGGCTGCTGTTACACTGGTTGTCTTCTCCTGCATTTACATCGGATTCATAGAACTACTTAATTCAGTGGCGGATATATATAAAAGAAAGATTGCGTATAAGGACATAGTACAGGAAGAAAGAATTAGTTGGTAGAAGGACCGATATGAAGCGATTTTAATCTCATAGTTTAAGAGAAGACAGTGAACGCGCAGACCGGAGTAGGTAGTTTTCTGAGGAGACCACACACGGAGCATTCGACCTAAAGGTCTGATCCACAAGATAGTGGAGCAACGTCAAGAGATGCAGTCCCATGGTAGTCGGTGACCAATAATTGGTCCATACGCCATTTGTTCCCTCAGAAACCTGAAGCCCATGTGCAACATTGGTTTGGAATCAGGATTTTCTAACTCCTCTAGATGGATCCTCCATATCCACCAACCCGGTTAAAGCGCCGCACATTCGCTTTTCGTCATCTCAATGGCTAATCATTGTAATATACATAATTCTACTAATGACCTTATCAATAAAGCTTCTATTACGAAACTGTAAGGGAGGAGAGGATAGGCTCATTGACTGTATTGAAATTGGAGTTGCGAAATACTAGCTTTAAGCACAAACATATTATCGCCCCTAGATTTTTCCCAACTCGCTCTTAGGGTAGGTAGCGACAGAGTGGTCGTGAGATAGCAATGATTTACGTATGTTCGTATACGTGCTAAGGATAATATAAGATGTGAAAAATAAACGCGCTATTGAATGAATTAGTGAAACACTGAGTGAATTTATTTCTATTGTGTAAAATGAACTCTTTAGCTTGACAGAATATTGTTAGATGGTAAAGTTGCCGGTGATAATTTGGTTAAAACCGAGTATCATATGAGGTGTCCATTAGGTTATATACAAAAACAAAGATAAACAAGATTAATAAAAGGTCCAATATAAGAAACTACGCTTATCAAGACAGAAAGTTTATGAAAACTTTTCTGCTACCGATTTCTTTAACAAAATAAACAGTCCAAAATTATTTTTATTTGGAATAAAATTACACCAGGGTTTGCTATATAAATTGTATACCATTAGCGATACATGTATACAAATGAAGGAACGATTTGTTATCTAGAAGACTGTATTATGTTATTACGTCTACATTATTATACGACTTATTTACTTAAAAATGATCAAGTACTATAAAGTTTATTTCAAAAGCTGAGTATTTACAACAGTCAATTTATTTCACACAGACGATTAATTATATATAGATGTTTAAAGTGTGCATGTGTGTGAAACGTTAGTCACAAATGACAAGGACAAAATTGAAAACACTGCTTTGTCTTACACACCATCGAATCTTACGATCACTGTAAATAGACAAAAGTAAACCGAAATAACGCCAGTAGTGAAGACAATATGTGAATAGCATACCGAAATATAAAAAGTTGAAATTGATAAAAATAATAAGAATGACCTTAAAAACTTAACACCAGAAATTATACACGCCAAACAATAGTTTCAAGAAGAGTATAATCTTTTTTGATAATACTGTACACTTATTTTGTGGTTATATACAATCAATAATCACTTACCAGAACCTTGCCAACCTGTGCCGCTTTGCCATTGCCATGTTTCACCTACACCTCTCCATTCTTGTACACCGATACAAGTTTCTACTTCATAAACATAACGCGTAACTTCAGGCCACAACCGATCTAAGCTAAAAACAGAAAGAAATTTAAATTTCCCGGAAAGACATTGTACGTTACCGTATGAATTTAATGAAGAACTTAACCTTGAGTCTGCTGTTATTTTACACCATGCTTAACATGTACATTTTATTCTACAATCGCCCTCATTCTCTATTACTGTTGTTTTCAAAATTGCAAGTCTTATCGACAAATTGCTTATTCATTAATGATTTTTCAATGTTGCGACATATCTATGTCTAAACGTATTTATCATCTGATTGTATGTTGAAGTGATTTCTACATTTAAGCTGAATTGAGAAAAAGTAATTTTACTTTGATTTCAATTTGATCATTATTTACATTACTAAAATAAACCACCCTGGATAGATAGCTGCATACAAGAAAGTGCAGTGGAAAAGTTTAGTATTTAACCGCTTGCATTAAAAAGTAGGCAATCAAAACAGGTTGAAAATGTTTTTCATCATCTTCATTTTGAAAAACCCAGATGTTTGAAGTGTCAAAGTCGTCGTTTACAGCGTGACCAATGAAATGATAGGTTTACTCACTAAATGTAATAAAGAATGATTGAAGGACAAAACGCGAATAGACTTAACAAACTTAATGAAATATCCAACACATACCGAAATAATTTCTCAAGAAGTAATGACACAGTAAACTACTCTGCTTATGGATGTTAAATAAGCAATCAGTGACCTACAAGTTGATAAAAAGTATGAATTATTAGTTGGCGTTGAATATTTAAAGCAATTAGTCCCTTTTATAAATTTCGATAGAACAATGAGAAGACGGAGTTGATCTGGAAAATGTGATGTATTTGCGCTATACATTTAACTTGCTCAGTGATATAATTCACAACTATTTTAAAAACGATATATATATATATATATATATATATATATATGCAAATAGTGATTCATGTGTTTGGCTTTGCGATACGATTTCAGTATATGAGGTCTATTGACACAACACAACTGACTAAATCGAGTTAAGGAGGATTAGCATTCTAACTTGAAACGTTATGGTTGAAAGCTTAGGGTTACAACGAAATGTTCATTTATATGTCAACATGGAGTAGGGACCTAGCCTCATGTGTTTCAGTTAAATTTCAAAATATCTTGAACTCTTTATTGTTACTAAGGTAAAAATAAATATGATTTCTATACGTGATAAGTTAGAACTGAGTGATACAACAATGGAACCACAGATCTCTTCATGGAAATATTACTGGTTTTTCATTAAAAGTTTATTGATTGTAGAAACGTTGAGCAAACGAAAAAACAGCTAGTACTTACTCGTGATGTTTTTGACGCAAGCGTTCACGTATCATATAGACAGGAACATAAGGAGGCTGATTAGCACTGGCTTCATTTTCTCGTAACTGGTCTTGTAGCAAGTCTATTCACAAGCACAGAACCAAAAGGATCACACCAAGATAAATAAAAAAAATAATTAAATAGAAATTACGGTTCATTATACCACAGATGATCGTACCACTGAAAAATAATTTAACACAAGCAACCTAATGTTGGGGCAGTTATGAGAGAAAACAGAACCAACTACTGACAAAACCAACATAATTTAAGCTGCAAATACGAACTATTGTTTAACGAAATAAATCAGAAAATATTATTTTTTTGTGAAACCACGATCGATAAAGCATATGAATGAGACACTTCATTATGAATTTCGTCAACTGTACACAATCAGTTAAATTAGTTACAAAGGAATAATCTTTCTCGAAATGAACTTTCGTATGATCAAAAGGTCTTTAAAAAATCATTTTAAAAATCACTGTGATTGAAAATCCTGCTCCAGTTACAGATCAAGAAGATATTTTCAGCTACGGTCAAGTAGAACCTGTTTCGGTTTGGGCACCCGGGCAGTATCACAGCCCTCACACAAATCAAATGAGATTTGTGTGGCACATATGTATTTGGTGCCTCCTTGTACCAATATCTATGTGTTAAAATAATAATAAACGGTCAAGTAGAAACCAAACCAGTTATGTTGATAAAATCAAAATCATTTCTGAGTAACCATAATATGTAAACAAGATATCTGTGAATAAATTATTTCTATAAGTATTTTTTTCGATGACATATTGGGATAAGACCCTTAACTGTCAAAGCGATTGCGGTACATATTCTACAGGATGCTTACTTAAAAGGCATATCTCAGTTAACTAAAAACAGGAACCAAAAGCTTTTTATCCTTTTTCTGAGCTTCATGTTCTCATTTTCATGAACTACATATAAATTCATGGTTATTCGTAGTAAAGTGTACAACTAATGAAGTATAATACCCGGTTACTTGCACGATTAACACTTAACAAAACTAATTTTCCATAAGTCAAAAAATTACCTGACAACTTTTATAGTGACACCGTACTTACATACAACTTCTGCCACCAGTTCTCTCACTCGACAGTTTTGACGTTCTAATGCACGTAATTTTTTGGAGCGAAGTAGATAAACTCCATAACAAACCCCCGAAATAACCAAACAAATTAATACGACCCAGAAAAAAGTTACGCATACACCAGCAAACCATTGAAAACATCGTTGGAGTCGACAAACACCAGGGAAATATGGTTTAAGACTTTCAAGTTCAGCGATTTGGATTACTCGACTAAATAAATAAATAAAATCACAAATCAATTATTAATTTGAAAGTGTCGTCTGGTTAACGAACATCATATCTTTAAATTTTGAATTGTTATGAATAAATAGATAATGACTCATTAGTATCGAAAGAATCTTCACTTATTATGAGGTGATATGTTGCATACTATAAAGTTTGTAAACCTTATGATAGAAGATTTACATTCACTTATATAACTCAGTCCTACAAACGAAGAAAAAGCGATGACAAACATTTTCAAACTTTCATTTGATACCATTGAACGAGGAGAAAATTCATGTAGATAGTTGCAAAGAATATTGAGCGACCAAAAGATGGCAGTACAAACTTTCAAAGTAGTATAAATATAGCTGAGTAGTTAAGACATTTACCTTCCATCCAGTAGACTGCAGATTAGAAACTCGCACCATGTACTTCTATTTGGGTAGCCCGATAGTCTCGTATGGAGTACATTACTTTTATTTTATAATACTAGTGCTAAAATAAACTTAGAATTCGTAAGCTATTTCAAGTTATTCTAATGCGTTAACCATATCATGAATGTCTAGTTACTGCTTTGATACATAGCAAATTGTCTGATTCTACATGACTGTGATTTAGCACCGTTAACTATTACTACTAACTGATAGCATAATTGTTTGTGAAAGCAGAGAAATACAACTATCAAATACAATATGAGTGTCATGACAGCAAAAATTTTCGATACTTGACAAGCTTACTTGAGTGGTCCTAGTTCAGATTTGCTAGCATCAACAGCAACAAGACTAAAATGTGTCTTCCCAACATGAAGTAGCACATAAAGTGTATTATCCCACACCCGACGAAAATCAGTTTTCGAAAATGTTGGCCAGCCTTTCATTTGTAAACTGTGCTCAACTAAACGTTCAGCAGAAGATACATCTAGACGAGGACTAGTTAAAACTCCAACTTTACAGTAAAACTCTCCTAAAATAAAAAATATGCAACTCAGTGAGATATATGAAAACGAAATAAACAAACGGGTAATCCTTGGAATACTCATTAAACACAACAATAAAAATTTTAATTGGAATAAAATCTAGTGCAACTCAGCAACTAATTGCAGATTCGTGTATTCAGCCTTGATCCACACTCCTGAAAGGCGAAGAAATTTCTTTTCAATTCTTCTCAATTCGTTCCTTCTTTATTTATCAAATGTCAAAATGGGAATTCTCATTGGTGAAATTATTCGACAGCTTAAATCGAAGTGAGTGAAAATGGTTTCAAACAAGCAACCAAGTATGTAACAATTGAGTGCTCTAATCCTACCTAATAAGCGAATATTTCTAAAACGCGATGCTAACATGTAGAAAATGTCAGATTTCAATACATCGTTGGCAGATTAACTAAAACACAACAAATTTTTAATGCCGTATGATTTCTAGTTATTCCTTACATTGCACTAGCTTAAAAAAGCTTTAATTGAAATAGATAAAAGGTAATTCGACTAATAATCAAAAAAGCTTACCAGCGTAACGACTGAGAATATCATATAAAATCCCAAGAACCCATAGGGAAGCAGTTAGATCATCTTCATGTAGGCAGCGCTGGATAAACAGATGGAAATTACAACTAATCGAACAAACTTACATGTAAGCCTTTTGTAAGACTATTATTGTAGTCGCCTGAAGATCGACAAAGTAATTTCTGTACATCTAAATAAATGTGAAACAAAAGCAGGCTAGTCATAATGATGTTTCTGGAAATTACTGTTTACTCTCACATAGTAGATGTACCAGTAAATTGCAATTTGTATGACCTTAGACAGATAAAGTCAGTCACAACGTGGAACCTGTACTTAAGTACATCGGTGCAGGCTTTAATACCAATTAGCAGAGATGAAATTATCAGCTCAAATCACAGAATAACAGATGAAGTAACAGTATCAGGGGTGATTGGAAAGAATAGGTATCAAAGAATAGAGTCAAGAAAATGTAAATTAGTGAAATGAAAACATAGAAAAGGTTATGGACGAAGACAAGGAATGAATGCACCTGTTCCAATACAAACGACTTTGAGACATATCATGAACAACAACTGCACACATAACGTACAAAGATAACAGTGAGGAGTTATGTTAGCTATCAGGAAAAAGTGTTAATCAATATCAATGCGATGTACATGAGTGAATATTTCAAACAGCAATATCATTTATTTCTAAAATAGCAAGTGTATAATTCAAACCGAGTTATTAGCTATTGCGTACCAATTTACGGTCTTATACTTTCATTTTATACAATTTTACATCGAACAATACAATCAAGGGTCATTGAACATGTGCCTAGATGGTTTCAAAACCAATTAGTGTCGAATGATCAGACCGACGTACAAGGTAGGAAACCATGTTCATCGATAACGAAACATATAATTGAAATGGGGTACAAAATTGATATTAATATAGCTCTTAAAACGTTGTATAGAAATTGTCAAGGACGAATTCTCAAGTTTATTGAAGTCCTGGCTATTCGCAAATTTAAGCGCCCTTTATGTGTACAAAAACAATTTGTCGTAACCTTGAATTTACCCTGGTAATCCTTAAGTCATTCTATGGCCTAGAATAACGCGACAATTTCATGTTCTTTCTATACGATGTAAAATTGCTTCTCTCCTATTTGTTACTTTTTACTTGAACTTTCATTTAATTGACTCTTATTAATTTTCATATTCAATGCCCTGACAAGTATATGTGTGACCAGATTGTTCGAAATGTATGGCGTAAATACATCCCATTTTTCAGATCAACTCCGTCTTCTCATTGCTCTATCTAAATTTATATATATATATATATATATATATATATATATATATATATATATATATATATATATATGCATGAAGTAATCCATATACTAAGTATGGGTTTCAAACTAAGACACCCAACTACATTTCCAGTGATTTTTACATCAACGATCCAAACAACGAACCGAAGTAGGTTGAGAAAACGCAATCACAAAACACTTTATCGACGAAACTAAGACATGGAAAACCAACTCTATGATTATCAAATTAGAAATCACTGATATAATATTTAAAGCGTCACATCCTTATAGCTTACCTGCCATTTTACCAACTTCCCCATGGTGATCCTTCAAGAATAAATAACTAGCAACTAACATAAAACACACGATTATGCTTGAAATAAGAATCAAATTAGGGATATTTGAGACACTGAAAGGAAAATGCTTCACAAATAAGAAATAATTCGAAAAGCTTTTCTTTTGATCACGCTGCTTTCGGTTACGAACAAGATCATTGAAATCAGTATCTTCAGATAAAATAGAAACACCGTGACATGTCGGTTTATCAAGATTCCTAGGTGGTGGAGTGAAGAGGAGACCAGGAGACGTTGTGATTCCAGTATCTCGCGACTTCATGTTCCTAAAGTCAGTGGAAGATATTTGGAATTTTATTAATGACACGATATCAATGACGAACCGTGAAACTACTTAATACAAATACAAACCAAATAATTTAACCTACTGAGGCAGAAGTCTAACAGTATGACATCCTACTGTCTTGATTAACGTTGAGACTTTTGTACTACCTGTAGTGGACATGGTAAGTGTACCACCACCTGTATATAAAATAATGTTTTTGTTATCATTTACAGATCGCACAAAGCGCGTTAAGGTCCTTTTGTCTCAGGTCAAAGTTCGATTGACCAGGTCTGTTTACAACGCTACCATGAATTGAGGCAAAGTTGTGTAGCATAATGACCTGTTATTTCCGTTGTAATTTTAGGGACGAGCTCCCAGAGATCACAACGAGCAGTATCTTGGTATTATTTACACGTTTTCATGATTGGAAAACAGTAGTAACCCTAATGTAAATTTTTATTGCATTCTTGTCTGTCGTAGCTTTTCATTGTGATTATTATTGCTTAACTTCATACGTATGTCAATAAGTGGTAATTATTATCATGTTTCAAGATTGGATTAAGCATACAGAGTTAAACACGTAGCTCTAAATACAACTAATCATTTTTGAATTTTTAAAACACTGTGATAGGTACTTCAGAAGCGGCCCAGACGGCTGCAAAATGACAGCACATTAATTGGTTACGTGAAATATCGGCTACTCAAATATGCACAATTGAAAATTGCTTAGAATGAAAGATTAAATGAAACAAATAGCAAACCTGAATGGAGAAGAATATAGTCTCTTGAAAAAAGGGCTTCGAGTGGAATTTTCTATATCAGAACTATCTGTATCTGATATTTGCAAACGATCATTGCTGTGTGAGGAATGACGAACACGAAATTTGGATTTTTCATAAACAGATTCATCCCTTGGAGACCTGGGTTTCGTAAATTCATGGGCACTCCGATTGAGCCAACCAGTAACTCTGGACAAGGTGGATGACATCGAAATTGGTTTTGATAATTCCTCATCTGTATCATCGTCTACAGAATCATCCTTAATATAAATATACGTTTTCCTGGTGGGTGTATAATCAACCGAGCTCTGGTTTAGGCCACGTGAAGATCTTTGTGCAGGATACTGCGTATGTGAAGAAACTGAAGTGATCATATCGGAATCATTACGAAACTTATTCACAGGTTCAGCTTGAGATGTTCCAATTGGGATTAAGCTCGGAAGTATGTCAGTGTAGGGTTCAGATAAATCCACATTATGTCCGGTAAGAGGTGGTTTGGATTTTAAATATTGTTTACTGGAAAAGTGTTTATTCTCTATTCCTAGATCAAAATTTAAAAAGCAGAAGAGTAGTTCTATGATCTGCATCAATAAAATAATTAATATTATATGCGCATATGACCATGCATAAGCCTGCTAATTCGATTTTCCAAATACCCAAGTATGAATAAGTCTTAACGAAATAATCACGGACCTTATCGTTTTTTGAGTATCAGTGTCTTTAGGATTGTTTACTTCATCTATAAAAATAAATACTCGTAAGCTCGGAGTTTATTTAGTTACTTAACAATCACACAAAACGTTATGACAAATAGATACTGTAATAATAACCACGCACAATTGCTATGGAAAATACGACGTGAAACTTTCTACGTAAGGCTGCATACCTACAAAGCGCTATTAATAGTACCCCTAACTTGACGTACGGTTTGGACTTATAACATGCACAATAAGACAAGTGTGCTGCAACAATTTGTTATTTGAAACTAACTTTGCGCCACAACTATGAAAACTTGGTGAACGAAATATAAGAGAATAAAGAATAGGTAATAACAGATTACTGTGAAGAGTAATTCTGCTTCATAGTAAAGGATGATAAATTGGTCCTAAGATGTGTGGAAGTTTAACTAAGGGACAGAAGACTATGATACAGTTGTACCGATGTTGCATCTCTACTATGTTAGATATCGCACGGAGCGGCGAAGTTATGATGTCTAAAGCACTTTTGAGTACTTAAATAAACCATAAAATGAAAAACCATTTATTACATTACAATGTGCTAGATTGTCAGTTAGTCTGATTTGGTCTCAATTTCAGGAATGTTACATGTCAATATTCTCCACACCTAGAAATTTCGTATTTGCTACAGATAGATGTGATATAAATGAACCCCCTAAGGACATAAATACTTAGCTTTTTTGCGTATACATGACAAAATTGACAACTGAACACCTGAACAAATTTCTGAATGTGATATAAATGCAGCTGTTTACAAAGAAAGATCCCTAAAATATAGTCATTTCAAATACCTAAATCAAGTAGAACAAAATTCATTGAGAAATCATTCGTAAGTATTTATAATCGTGGTTTCTATACATCTACAATGCTTATAAGCTAAACTAAACTACGAAGATGACATAAGCATCTTCAGACTCCATGAAAAGCAAAAGATACCGACTGTGTGCTTACAAACTATTGCATTACGAATGTATACACATGAAACTTTATGATCAAATAACATACCTGTTTCGTGACTTGATTCGATACTTGTATGCTTACGACTGATTACACTGGAGCCCTCCGTTCCTGAAGAGCTTGAATTTATTGCTCCAGTTGATTTGCGTGACTTTGAAGATATTTGTTTAGGTGTTTCTGACGCCTCTTTTGTTGAAATGCCCACATTGAATGACTTTTTCTCCTTTTGGAGCTTTTCAAGTTTTTTTACATAAACAGATCTCGTAGTTGCTGTTATTGGACCTGGATCAAAGCCCAAAGCCTTAAGTTCCCTCCGCAGCTCATCGTCTCGTAGGGAAGCTGCCATAAACGTTTCGTACTAATGATGAATATGTGAGAAAAAACAGCCTTCAGGGTATTAAAAATGAGTCAAGCAACCCAAACCTAATAATTATAAATCTTAACGAACCAGCAACAACTTTCAAATGTGATACACCACAGAAGTTTAAGCAACGATGCTTCGCTATTAACTATGTTCAATATTTCAGTTTTCAAAATTTAAATACAAGCTTTGCCAAGTGAAAATACCAAACCGCTTGTTCCTTGAAAGCTAAATACGGACAGTTGAATAACTTTTTTGGTTATAAAGAGATATGTTTTTTACTTCTTTTGAGAACCTAATAGAGTAGTCACCAGGTGCCAATTAAAGTAATTCCTCTTTCGTTCCTGATGGACTATAGGAGTCTTCAAGCACTTATTTAAAAGGTTAAGTAGAATGACCAACCATTACAGGTTTTTTAAAAATGTCGATAACTTTTTGAATCAAACCTTGGAAACATATTTTGTGACAATACTGATTGAATACCACAAAAAGTGTAAAGTGTCTTGTACTACGTCAGGCCCACACAGATTATTCTAGATTTCTTCGTTTGTTCCTCATGAGTTAAATTCGAATTTGTCACTGATTCGTTTATTAACCTTGACCGAGCGTATATAAGGCTTACCCTTCTCATCAAATGTCTGTAAATTATTTTTGTTTCACTAAACATACTCTTTCTCTTCACTAGCTTTCTCCTATTAAATGTGTTTCCCGATTTCTACTCTGAATGTCAGTTTGGATAATTAGGAGTGGTTAGCCTAGGTAATGTAGGAAGTTAAGGGGGAGATTTATGTCTATAGCATTTTCATGCGGTCAAACCTGGGTCATATACTGAGCCACAATACATACTAAGAAGAAATATAGCTCCAACAACGCCAACTAAGAATAATCATTCAAACTTATTAATTGTTGTTAGGCCCACTTATGTATAAGCCTTTGTTTTGTCTGTGTTCAGTGTCTATCACTTATCAGGCTTCAAAAGACTCTTTAGCTAAAGATCAATTTTCGCTATGAAATCACAAAACAAATTTACAGCGCAATTGAAACATCATTGCGGCAGATGTGCTTACTATTTCCCTTTCGATGGTATGCAATGTGTCAACTGCCATAAATGGTATCACGATATGTGCACCAAACTCATACCGGCTGCATATAAAAGGTGGTGCAAGCCATTATCACGGATTTCAGGGAAGAGACGATTTCAGGAACAAAATTCCACAGAGTCTCAAGACGGACCTCGGTGAGAGGTCAGTCATTTTTCATAAGAGAATCTTCCGATAAGGAACCAAAGACTAGATTTGAGCACGACCTCAGTCATATTAAGTCCTTATAAAGCAAGCTACTATCAGATACCGTTTAAGGGGTTAGTATCCACAAGCTTTATAGAACAGGACAAAAGGTGAACTCTGAAAGTGCTCAGAAAAGCTGACGCTTGAAAGTTACCTTCGCTACGGTGTAAAATGAAACCTGATACTAGGGAACTCATGCAAACTGATTGGATGAAGAATATGCGTCCGTGATAATCTCAGCCTGGTTGATTGTGTTATGAGACGAGCTGCAGAAGTAGAAATAAATGAAAGAAATTTCATTCCTCAGGGTTTTCAAATTGTAAAAGTCCGGAGCACAACGATCTTCAAACCACTCTGTGTGGTAAGGGAAATTTGTCCATTGAATTAAAGGTGTGCTACACTAATGCTCTCAGCCTAATAACCGACATTTCGGAGCTCAAGACAATGGTGAATAAAAAAACCTGATGTCCCAGAAACATGGTTACCGTCAGAAGTGTTCGGTAATGAAATTCAGTCGACTGGTTTTTTTATCCAGTAATGCTGATAGATTAAACTGTAATGGAGACGGCGTTATCCTGTATACGAAAAGTACCTTAACCACACAAGCAGTTGAGGCAGTGGCACATGATTCACGGACATGTGAACTGGTGCGTTTTAAGTTGAAATGTAAGAGGCAATATATTGAATTAGTTGTAGTACATCGCAGTCCGGAATGTGTATTAAGTGACTTCCTCCTAAGCAAACTTAGGTTCTGATGTAATAGGGGTAAAACCCTTTTAGTAGGCAACCCGAATGCATTGTAAATAGGCTAGGTAAATATGATAATTAGAAGTATTTGAATTATAGTATGAACTAATAATCCCAGGGATAACGCAATTGAATCAAGAAGTACTACACAAGCACTAACGAATGTACTGTATTTAGAATTCGAAATCAAACATTCAACAAGTACAAAGGAGTCATTAGTTCATTCAAACACCACATCCGCCACAGCTTAAATTAGAGTCTAAGTGTCTGTAATCAATTGTACGTCTTCTCCTCAAGTTCATGCTGTCTGTCCGACAATGTATTGGATAAAGACTCTGTATTATCTAGAATGCACTCAATAGTATTAGAATTAACAGGGATGACTGTTCAAATAATCCCGTAAAAGAAAATGAATGCAATTTGATATATTTTATCTATGTATTATTTGAGAAAATAAAGACTAAATATTTATCACAATCAAATTTTTATGTCTCCTGCACATAGCTTTCGTTTTAATTGTTCTTGTTGATCTTGTTTGTATAAGCTCTCTATTACTTCACCTAATCCAACGGCTTGTTTCATAAATCTGTATAAATTATTCCATGAGTTGTTTAACCGATGATCTGTTATACGATCTTGTGGAAAATTGTAAGTTCGAATTTTTTCTGATCTATCTAGATTTCCCAAATGAGATCGACGGATGGAATCAATCATGTGAGACTGTGATTTTAATAGAGTTTCACGAAGCCTTCAAAATAAGAAAGACAAAACAATACAAATGAAATGAAATAAAACTGATTCATACAGTTCTGTTTCAACGGTGATTGCGAAATAAAGTTTTCAAATGAGAAAAAATTACCTCCGAACTATTCAAACAACAACGGTAAATGAATATATAGTGATCAAAAAAGATTCCCAACTGAGGTAAATACTTCTAATGGTATTGCACCCGAGGAGCTTACATTGTTTACTCTTCAGCATTATCGTTAACATCAATTACTTCAAAGCAGAAGTATGACTTTCATTTTATATTTGCACTAACACTAATAACAATAACAATAGATTATACTGCAAAAAGATCAGAAATCGGACATTTTTTCCCAACCGTATATTTATGGTCGTTTTTCATAAAATTTCATGGATGCATTATAGTGCGTTCCCTTAATAAGACTTGGTAAAAGAAATGGTTGACAAGAAAGGTATATTTGAAAATAAGGTTTAAGGGTGGTTATTGCATTGAGTTTGCTCCGAAAATGTTTACCCAAAATTGCTTAATAAGATATATTAATGATACTAATACATGAAGTAAAAATCTGTATCTTGTTTTAAATCGAACCATTCATATAAAGGTTAGTGATACTACCTAGTCAGACACAACGTGAAACCTGTACTTAAGTACATCGGTCCAAGTTTTCATGTTTGTTAGCACAGAGAGATGAAATTGTCAGGGAAAATCTAACAATAGCAGAGGTAGTAACAGTGTCAGTGGTGATTGAAAAGATTAAGCATCAGAGAAATTATTCAAAAAACGTAAATTAGTGAAATAAAAACACACAAAAATTTACGAGGGATTCAGATGCCCAGACTTTGTGCGAAGACAAAAAATGGATGCACCTGGGTCATTGCAAACGATTTTGAGCTATGTTATTCAAAGTCTCGAAACATTGATTACGACAATCATCCGGATCACAACCAAGTAGTTTGGACCTATTACCATGGCTAAGTAGAATTATCAATGACTTCATATATTGATGCCACGTGTTTGGTTTGATCACCCCTAGTTTTTTTCCAGCTTACTCCTATACCAGAGAACACCGGCAGTCGAGGTAGATGGCGGTTTGGCATGTCTGATACATGTCCCAACCGCCTCAGCTGATGACGATTTATTATTTCATTAATTGATTTCCAATCTCTACCTAGCAACCTATTCCTGACCCAGAAATTTCTTACTACGTGATCTCAAAATACACGAACAATGCTTCGAAGACACATATGATCGAATACCAGCCTGCAACCTAATGGTTGGAAACTGAGTATTGCAATCGCTTAGTTACTGTTATGGATTAATATTTATGCAGCATTATATTCTACGATAAACATCCCATTGAATGATAAATCAACTTTTTACAAATGAGACAGAAAACGCATTATTATTAACCAATGAAATACTATTGATAGTGGTTGGTTGAGAATAGAAGAAATTATAATGAAAATTTGAACTTTAAACACTTTGAAACTTGGACATATAACGCCAACTAATGCTCTATAAAATAAAACGTCATAACAATTTGGAGAAATTCAGTCACACCATTTATGCAGGATTTAGTCAAAATCAATTAAGTAATTTGAAATATAGCACCACAATTGTGGTAACTCAACTGTCCTTTTTAACAATTGATTTTATCATAAATTAACATCAACTGGGTAAAACAATAAAACACATGACCATTACGAGGCAAATAGTACAGTGCTAGTAATAATAATATTCACCGAACTGTGTAATCGAGTGCCGATTTACATGGTGATATAAACGTATTATATCAGGCTTAATAATAAGGAATTCTAATAACCATTTCCTTAAAAACATCATGAAATGGAAGTGAGGTGACGAAACAAATAATTCTACAACTGAGTGTAGAAAATTAGATAAGTGAACTGCGGTGAATGGTACATATACTACATATATCTGTTAAAAACTACTTAAACATGTTATATAAGTTGTAGTAGAAGCAGAATAAATGGCATTATAATAAGGCCTATAATCAATCCTTGAATGTCAGTGCGATAACCCTAGTATATTATAATAAACAATAATTATTTAGTTTAAGTTAAGATGAAACATTTTCTCAAATTGTTTTTCTTCCTATAACTGAGAGAAATATGCTGATTGATTAGTAAACAAGACAATTTATTAAAGATATCCTATTTGAATTATTAGGGTCTGTATACAGT